GTTTAGAGTTTAGGGTTTAGGGTTTAGGGTTTAGGGTTTAGGGTTGAGGGTTTGGGACTTTAGGGTTTAGGGTTTGGGACTTTAGGGTTTAGGGTTTAGGGTTTAGGGTTTAGGGACTTAGGCCTTAAGGTTTAGGGTTAAGGACACAGTCGTCCAGAAAGACATGTTTTTGAGTTTAGGGGCTCCCAGAACTGGAAGCCCTAAGCCATGTAAGCCTCAAGCTACTAAACTTTTTTGGGGTACTATAGTGCTTCGAAAGTCCTCCAACGCTTAGCCGTCAGTTTTTGCAGGAAACTGGACAAGTAGGCACGCAACTCTCTAAGACCTCAACCAGCTCAACACCAAGCGCCCTATCCATGCCGTGTGAAACAACCCATAACATCATTAACAAGAACCGATAGAAGCAACACCCTAAGCCTTAAACCCTGAAGCAAAACACAAGAAAGACCTGAAGCCCTGTCTTGAACCCTTCCAGATCCCTTTTAGTAACCCCAAGACAGCCCTTTGAAGGAAACCCTAAACCCTAAACCCTAAACCCTAAGGAAACCAACGAGATCCTTTAAAGGAACCCCCTTACAGCTTCTTTTACGGGAAGCCCTCAGGACTCCTTCAATGGAATTTTGTGGAACCCCGAAAGCCCTAGAGACCGCTTTAAAGGAACTTTTAGGGATCCCCAAAAACGCTAGCTCCCTTTAAAGGAAGCCTCTAGGAAGCTCCCTTTAAAGGAAGCCTCAAGGAATCCCTTTTTAGGAAGCCCTAAAGATCCCCTTTTGAAGGCACCCCATAGAAGCTCCCTTTAAGGGAACCCTGGATCCCTCTCTAAGGAACTGCTAGGGATCCCTAGGATTATATGTAAACCCTAAACCCTAAAGCCCTAAACCCTAGATCCCCTTTAATGGAAGCCCTAAACCCTAAACCCTAGATCCCTTTAGAGGAGCTCCCCCAAGATCTCCTTTTAAAGGAACCCTCGATCGCTTTAAAGGAACCCCTAGGAATCCCTACTGTTGATGAGATACATCCTGCATTACCCATAAGAAGGAATCTACCATAATTCCCATAGTTTAGGGTCCTGAAGTTAATGCAGGATTTATATCGTCAGCAGTAGGCTCCCTTTAAAGGAACCCCTAGGAATCCCTAGGAATCCCTTAGAGAGCCCCCGAAAGAAGCAGATCCGAGGAGCTCTTGGAGCCCTGGACTCCGCCAGAGCAGGAGGAGGCACTTTTCGTAGGGGTCCCAGGCCCTGGGATCCTTGCTATACCTAGGGTTTAGGGTTTAGGGTTTGAGGTTTAGGGTTTAGGGTTTAGGGTTTAGGGTTTAGGGTTTAGGGTTTTAGGGTTTAGGGTTTAGGGTTTAGGGTTTAGGGACCTAACTTAGGGGTACCTAACTTAAAGGGAACTCCAGAAAGTTGGAATATGGTTTCAGGGTAGGATACCCTATAATTTACCATTAAGGGTTTGGGATAATCATATTCCAACTTTCTGGCGTTTACTGTAGGGGTACTTAGAAATACTTTTTAATTTTTGGTTATTTTTATCCCTAAGAAGGGGGCCTCAAAAGGTAGGTGGGATATTCCCCAAATAAGAGTCCTTATCTAGGGGATCCTTAATCCCACCTACCTTCATCCCACATTGTGAGGCACTTTTGAATGGTTCTGTAGGGGTTCCTTTAAAGGGGGTCTCTGGAGCTCTTGAAGGGAACTCCAGAAAGTTGGAATATGGATTAATGGTAGGATCCCCTATAATTTACCTTAAAGGGCTTAGGATAATCATATTCCAACTTTCTGGCTTCTACTGTAATTGGCTCCCTTTCGCGTTCCATGTTCCTGGGCCGGGAGGGCGCAGGGCCTTGTGCAGCCTCGTACTTGGAGGATCATGGGACTTAGCAAGTAGGGTTTAGGGTTCCCTTTAAAAGGGTACTGTAGAGTTCGATAATAGGGTTCCTTAAAGGGATCTACAAGTAGTCTACAATAGGAGGATCATGGGACTTAGTAAGTAAGCTTATAAGTAACTGAATTGGGGTTATAAGCGGTTATAAGTATAGTTACCCAAATTATAACCCCAGTTGTTAAGTCCCATGATCCTTCAAGTAGCTTCAGGGTTCTCGTTCAGAGACGAGGTTTGCAGGGTTGGGGAGCCCTCTCCTCATACTCTAAGACCGTGACGCCCTAAATCGTCAGATCCTAAAACCTAAACCGAAGCCCTGAGACCCTCAACCCCCAAACCCGACAGCCCTGAACCCCCAAATCCACAAGACTTGTTCAACGTAGTATAACGTAAATATGTGAGAAGCTGAGCCTCGATCCGTACAGGTTTGTCACCACGGCTTCGGGCAATCGAAGATACATAGCTCGTTATGTCGGTATAGATGCGTTTCTGTTTTGCCGCCCTGCTATGCTGAGGTTACGAGTCTTTGTGACATGGCTTTCCTACCTTGAAACCAGTCTTAAGCCCTAAACCCTAAAAGCTGTAGAACCGCGAGAACCCCACCTTCAAAGACTACCCAAGTACCGTACCCTTCTGGATCCCTTTTAGTACTCCTTATAGGAACCCTTCAAGGAGCCCTAAACCCTAAACCCTACCTTCTAAGAAGACCCAAGCCAGGAAGAGGCATGAAAGCCTTGCTGCGACGCGAATCCTGCGTTGCCGTGAGTGGGTCAAAGGGAGCTTCCGGAGAGGTTCCCGTTTCTCCAACTGGGGCTGTCGACTTCCAATCTGGGGTTAGGGCTTATAGGGTGTTTGGGCTTAGAGTGTAGGGTTTAGGGTATTTCTTTTGCATTTTCTTTTTGTTTCGGGATCCGAAGCCCTTAGCACCGCTGCCTAGCTTGCCCCTGCTAGTATGGGGGCTCCCTGGGACCGCTCACTTTTAAGAATCACAGGTCACGCAGAAGCGTGCACAAAAGGAGTGCTTGAGCTCAGACCGCGCCAGAGTAGCAAGCCCTGGGTTTACAGACAGTTTCCTAAACTTGGATAGCCAACGGGAAAACCCCAAACGTTTTACCTTACATATTTGGTCCATCATCGAAAGTTTGAGTATTTTTGGGCCTGCTTATTGAAGAAGAGCAAAAAATCTACCCATTGCCAGATACTGTCCAGGGCTGACAGGATTTGCCCCCTGCCGTGCTGAGATCGATGTCCCGAGAGCCGCGGCACTTCCGAATATTCACAAAAATTACCCAACCTGCCAATGGCAACAAGAAGCATACAAAGAGCATCAGCAGCAACTGCAGCAGTCTTTGCTTAAGTTGTACATATATCAGATCCTCGTCGAAACCTACGTTACGTAGGATCGGCACTAATAGAGGGGCATGAATAATTAGGATAGGGTGTGCGGGGATATTATGCTATAATCAAGACAAGGAGCCCCAAAAGCCTAGTCCGCCCCTATAGTCTGCGCCCCGCTTTTTCAAGCTAAGCTCAGGGTTGCAACATCGTCGAAGGAAGCTTCCTGATTGATGCGCCTGATACCGAAGCCTTGCTAGTTACCAATCCCAGGCCTTGGGGATGCCTGCTATACCTAACTAAAACCTACTTACAAGCAAAGACTCTGTTCTCGTTGTTACTAAGGCCTGGATATATTATGGTCCGAGGTTTACAGCTGCATGGTCTAAACTGCGCAGCCAGAGGGAAGAAGGCCCAGCCCTTCCTTGTAATAGGGTTTAGGGTTTAGGGGTTTAGGGTTTAGGGTCTGGGGTTTAGGGTTCAGGCCAAGATCAAGATCCCGCCACTTAGGCTCTTGGGTTTATTTCCGATGCTCCCATGTCTTCTGCCTGATCGGATGTGATCTCGATTTCATCAGCATGCGGCACACTCGGACGTGCACCCTAAACCCTGAATCGTAAACCTGGCCCCAAACCTGAACACTAAACCTTACAGTAAACCCAGACCCTAAACCATACTATAGGGGCCTTAATGATTGGAGTGAAGTTTTGGGGTATATTATACTAAAATCATAATAAGGAACCCCCAAAACCCTTTTCTAATTACTAAAGCCCCCAAAGGTAGACCCTACACCATAGACAACGTGGCAGCCATTCAGACTCAAGATCTGGACTACCATTCCGGTATCGAACTTTCCGAGCCCTGCGAGGAGCTGACTGGGTGGGTCCTGCACCCTAAACCATGTTATGTACTTTGTGATGATATAGTATGATAATATACTGTAGCATACTAAAACAACCGCATTATCATATCTTGTCATGTACTTTGTTATGATATAGTATGATAATATACTGTAGCATACTAAAACAACTATATTATCATGTAGTACAGTAAGAGACTATAGCATACAAAAAAATAATGTGATATTGAGCCTCGACTCTTGCAGGTTGTTGGCCCCTGATTTGCTTTCCTCAGGGTTTCGGGAGTCAAGGCCTTGGGAGCTTTTTAGAGCTAAAGGGAACTCCAGAAAGTTGGAATATGGATTAATGGTAGGATCCCCTATAATTTGCCTTAAAGGGGTTACGATAATGATATTCCAACTTTCTGGCTTCTACTGTATTGGCTTGTAGTGTCGACCAGAAGTCATCTGTGCCCTGCGCGAAGAGGGCTTGGTATTGAACTGCCGTGCGAAGGCATGCCTTCGGTGTAGAAAGGGCGCAGAAAATCTTGAAATAGAACCCGTGGAGAGCTCTTCAATCCCAAACCCTACCCCCCAAGCCCGAAGCCGCCTGCCACCGCTGAAGACCTGCATCGGCATAGAGGGCCACAAGGTGCATTGTTCTGCCTACCGTTGATGCTCCTGCTGGGTTCTTACAGAAGCCTCTGCACATAGTGCACAATGGTTTTGTCCATCCGCCTACCATCACAGGGTCCAGCATAGAGTCTACGTGAAGCCCCGCAAAGCCCCACACCCTGAATCCAAGATCGCCTGGGACCCCCCCCCTCTGAATATACCTTTCGAGTCCTTATGTCCCAAAGTTTCAGGTGCATCTCTAAGACTCTAGCTCAAGCCTCAAGCGCTTGACACCAGGACACTAACGGTCTAAGCACATCGCTCTACTCATGCCTTGCTCCTTGGTCGCAGAAATGGGGGTGGGGGCTGGGGATCGCACGACACCCAACGGTCTAGAGTCTAGGCAGGCCAGGGCTAGGCGTTGGCGTTTTCTGGATGTTGGAGTAAACCTAGAAGCCTAAACTCTAAACCTTCGCAGATTTGGGCGTCGTCCGCCGAAATGATTACCTTCACTTTTCCGCCACTGCCACTGCCACTGCTACTCTTACTACTACTATGTTTATTGCTACCACTGCTACGACGACGACGACGGCTATTATTAGTGTTATTGTGTAAGCAGCGTTATTGCTGTTAGTAGTATGACGTGCTTGAGGCATAACTCCTGACCTCTACCACCAGCGAATTCAATTGTTCACTCAGCTTGAAGCTTCCGCACATTCATAGACAAGAAACTAGGACCTAGAGTAGGCCCTTATTCCCCTTTTTCTTAGGTTCAGGTCCCTTATAAGCCCCTTCAAACCCAAAAAGGCACCCTTTGTATTCCTAGGTTAATCTTGAGTCTACTTAAAGGATCATGGGACTTAATAGTGTTGTAATTAGGCTAACTATACTTATAGCTACTTATAACCCCAATTAAGGTACTTATAAGCTTACTTACTAAGTCCCATGATCCTCCAAGAAGACTTTAGGAACCCGGTTGGAAGAATTTTGGCCTCGGACGGAGGATCCGCCTCCAGCTCCAGCAATGCTGCACAGAATTTTAGATTTGGGGCTGTTGGGTTTAGGGTTTAGGGGTTTAGGGTTTAGGGTTTAGGGGTTTAGGGGTTTAGAGGTTTAGAGTTTAGAGGTTTAGGGTTTAGGGGTTTAGGGTTTAGGGTCTAGAGGTTTAGGGTTTAGGGTTTAGGGGTTTCGGGTTTAGGGTTTAGGGTTTTAGGGTTTAGAGGTTTAGGGTTTAGGGTAGAAGCTGATGGGGCAGCTCCTTACTGAGTAGAAGGCACTCCGGGAGTCGGAGGGGCAGAAGGTCGCGACTCTGCTTAGAGGATCATGGGACTTAAGGTAACTATACTTATAATTAAGGTAACTATACTTATAGTTACTTATATAACCCCAATTAAGGTACTTATAACCATACTTACTAAGTCGCATGATCCTCCAAGTGGAGTCGGGACTTCCACAAAGCAGCGGGAGGTGTCTGCGCTGTTGCGGAGTCTCGCAGCCGGGAGGTGTCGTCGTTGCAGGAGTCAGAGGGGCTGCAGGATCATGGGGCCCGGCGCTGGACCATGGGTGTGGGCTTTGGGAGATGATCTACACGAGCAGGACGGACTCCTTGGTGATTTCGCTCGAGCAGTTTCGTTGCACGCAGAGTGCAACGTTGCGGAATCTGCGGTTCCATTGGTCGGAAGTCGCTTGCAGCAGAGGAGGAACAGTGCCAAGAGCAGATCAAGCGCGGACGTCACTGGTTCCGGAGGGTATGAGACACTGGAGGCGGCCAAGGCCGGAGTGGAACCACCCATGAAACCCTTTTTGAACCTTAAACCCCGAAGCCTTCAAAGCTTAGACAGCAGGGTCCTAAAGCCACAAAGCCCGAAGGCCCTAAGGCCCAAGGGCCCGAAGCGCTAAACCAAACCCTAACTAAACCCTAAACCTAAACCCTAAACCTAAACCTCAAAACCTAAACCCTAAAACCTAAACCCTAAAACCTAGACCCAAATCAGAAGGTTGCTAGATTCGAGTGGTTTCGTGTCCGGGTTTTAGGGGCCAAGGTCTCGGTTTTAGAGTCTGAGTTTAGGGTTTAGGGATCCTTTCACTTACCTTTGGTTAGTAGGGAATGGGGCTCCTTTAAAGGGATCTATAGGGGTTTAGGGTTCCTTTAAAAGGGATCTTTAGGGGTTTAGGGATTTTTTTAAGGGATCTTTATCTTTGGTGAGTAGTGAATGGAGGAATGGGGTACAATTGTAACTACTATTACTACCATTCTTCCATTCCCTACTAACCAAAGGTAAGTGAAGGGTTCCTATGAGGGATCTATAAGGGTACTTTAAGGGGTTTAGGGTTTAGGGGTTCCTTTAAGGGATCCTAGACGGGTTACTATAGGGGTGCTATAGGGTGTGGGGGTTAGGGTTTAGGGATAAGTGTCTTCGAATTTGAGGAAGACTGCAAGGAGTGTAGGAGCGTAGGGCGTGGGAGTCGGAGTCGAGGTTGCAGGGCTTGGGTTGCGGGGCTGTGGGCCTCAGAGAAGCGTGGGTCTTCAAGGTCTATAACTGCGCTTTGGAGTACCATACTTTACTACTTTTTCCTTGAAGAAGCCATTCTCAAACAAAAGTTTATACTTTTTCTCCCTGGGTTTTTAAAAGCCCAGATAAAGCTCGCGTAGGTCCACCGTTAGTTTTGGACCCCCTCTCGCAGCGAAAGCACAGAGCCTTACCACCCCAAACCCCAACAAGGTTTTGAAAGCCCGCAGGCCAACATCCCCAAACCCCAGACCCTAAACCTGAAACCCTATGAACCTTAAAACCCTAAGCTCTATAGACCCCAAACCCTAAACCCTATAGACCCTAAACCCTAAACCTTAGGAGCCTTAGATCCTCTATCCGGAAACCCAAACCGCAAGCCCCAAACCCTAAACTCCAAATCGGCAGGGTCAAACCTGCCATGGACCAGTCGGATCGGGTTTAGGCCTTGGACTTTCCGGCTTCAGGACGCAAGCCTTAGTTTGGGTTTGGGGGTCAGGCCATAGGGTCTAGAGTTTGGGGTTTAGGGTTTTTAGGTCTCGTGGGATTAGGCTCATATAGGGTGTAGAGTTTAGGGTTTAGGGTTTTAGGTCTCGTGGGGTGTAGGCCTTTCGGGTCTAGAGTTTAGGGTGTAGGGTTTAGGTCTCAGGGGAAAAAGCTTCATACAAACTCGCCACCCAAGTGCCGAGCTCCCATCGGGCTGTTTCCCGGAAACGAGCCTGCTTAACTAGGAAGCCAAAATCCCGGACCGCCTAAAATACAGTACGGGCCTAAATAATTACCTATACCATTTTGGGGGTTCCTTGTTTTAAATATTAAAGCCCCCATATGACAGTGCTCAATGTCAGCTCGCCGAGGCGTGCAACTCAACTCCGAATCTACTTTCCCAGCCCTTCGTGGCATTTTTGTCAAGACCGACCTGCGCACGAAATGCCTTCTTTGCGCAGCTGCCTGGCATCCTAGTCGTGGTTGTCGTAGTCGTTGTCCTGGTGCTGGTCATAGTCGTCTTCTTCGTCGTCGTAGTTGTAGTAGCAGCAGCAGCAGCAGCAGGAGGAGTCGTTGCCGTAGACATAGCCGTAGGCGTAGTCGTGTCGTCGCGTCGTCGTCGTCGTCGTGGTAGCCCCCGAGCAATGCTTGCGATTCGGCGTGGTCTCTTCATAGAGAAGGGATTGCTTTGTGTCTAAGAAAGCTGTGACTGCCGGCAAGCACGATTCTTTTCAGATATCCGCTGCATATATGTACCTAACTATAGGGTTGTCGAGCCGAAAGTCCTGTGCTGCGACAGCCCCGAAGTATCCAACTAGATCTACGAACCCGCAGGAAAGGATTATGATGACCCTACCAGGACCCCCTGAGTACCAGGGCTCTAATAGTTCTCATTAAGAGGTAATGAGGGATTACAACAAAGGGTAGTTGGGGGGTCTAGGTAAACCCTAAAACCTTAAACCCTAAGCGTGATAATGGTTTGAGGCCTCAAACCAAGGGATCTTCCAGCAGTGGTGCCTTCTGTGATTTTGGATGGTGCGCCTCATTGCGCCTGTTCTTTTTTAACAACGCGCACCCTAAACCCTAAGTTTTCAACCCTCAGCCCCTAAACCCGCACCTGGGTTTTAGGTGTTTTAGGAAAGTTAGGTCTTCCGGGGTATAGTGGCTTAGGGGTTCAGGGGTTTCGGGTTAACGGTATTTAAGGGCTTCTCACTCCTGAACCCCCCTCCCCGCAACTGAAACAGCTGGAAGTACCGATCCCAGGCTATCCTTGTGGTCTTACCATTGGAAATCCATCATCTCCTTGCCGCTTTTGCTGGCGCTGTGGGGCGCCCAGATGCGCCCAACAACCGCAGCAACCGCAGCAACCTCTAGAGTCTAGCTATTTTTCGGGTTTAGGGCCTAGTCAAACTGAAGACACTGAAGGCCAAATTCCAGACCTAATGTAGGAGCCTGAATAAATACCCATCGTATCCATAAGGGTCCCCCAATGTAGCTATGCCAGAAGATACACCCCAAAATTGTTAAGGCCTTTATACTGCCTGTCTTTACTCCTCTGGAGACTCATCCGGACCCTCAGTGCGAAGATCAGGGTCCTAGGCATCAAACTCGCGGCGCCTGAACCTCCAGGGCTCGGGTCAAACTTAAAACTCTACATCCCCAAAAACTTAAAAGCGGTGACCCCTTTTTGGGGATGTAGAGTTCTCGGAGATGAGGGCTCATCAGGTTTCGGGGACTGGCAGCAATTAGGGACAAGGTTTGTTTTAAGTTGTGGGTTTAGGCTCAGGGTACAGGTAGAAATCTGAGGCATGTAAGATTAGTAGCTGATGCTTCTGGAGATCATAACAAAAACCTGACAGCAATGGCAACATGCTGCTGCTATTCCTACTACTACTACTACTACTACTACTACTACTACTACTACTACTACTACTACTACTACAACTACTACAACAACAACAACAACTACTACTACTACTACTACTACTACTACTACTACTACTACTAAGAATAAGAATAACAGTAATAATTATCATAATAATAGTAGCACCACTATTACTGCTGACACGACGACGGCCACGGGCAACTGCCGTTGTCACTGCCACTGCCACTGCCCCTGACACCGTTGCTGCCAATGCAAAGCCAAAGCGCAGCCTCTGCAAGCCACAGCAAAGCCACTGCCCCGACCACGACCACAAACAACCTACGAGCAATGGCGAGAACGAGCAGTTACAATAAGGCCTGGCACAGAAATAAGGATGCCAATATTGATTGGATCGACAACAACGACAGCGGTAGCAATGCTATCAATACGAATCCTTATAACAACATCGCCAGCAACAGCAAGAGTGACACGACAGTGCTTACCTGTGCTTAGTGGGGAATGGAAGAATGGTAGCAATAGTAGTTATAATTGTACCCCATTCCTCCATTCCCTACAACCAAAGACAAGAGTAGCAGCAACAATGGTGGCAGTTCCGACTGACAAAGGGGCAGGCTAGTCGTCTTCTGAACACTCCAAGCCCTTCCAGTCAGCTCGCTGCACTATAGGGGCCTTAATATTTAGAATAGGATAGGGTTTTGGGGCAGAGTGATAATAAGGAACCCCCCCCCCACAATAGTATAGGTAGCTATTTAGGCCCCTACTTAAAGGATCATGGGACTTAGTAACTAGGGTTATAATTAGGGTAGCTATACTTATAACTACTTATAACCCCAATTAAGGTACTTATAACCATACTTACTAAGTCCCATGATCCTCCAAGTATAGTACCACGGATTTCCTCCCGATCTGGGCCTTTTGGCTTTCGAAGTGCAGGTCAACACCCGCCTTCTGATCCCCAAGGTTTAGGGTTTAGGGTTTTCAGACTGGCAGAGCAACCTCAGCAACCCGCAGTAGGTTTTCATTTCATTGTTCCTGGCCAGGGTCGTACGATGGATGATGACTTTCGACGCAACATCAGACCGAGTCGCCGAGACCAGACTAAGCCCTAGACCCCAAGTGCAGCCTTTCGAGCAAGATGATCCGCGTCTGGAAGCTTTCAGGTGAGGAGTTGGCCTCAGTGAGCATCAGGAAGTTTCCTGAATCGAGAACTGTGAAAGGTTTGAAGCGCCACCTGCAAAGTCTGCATGACCTCCCCGTGTGCATGCAACAGCTCGTGCAGGACGGCAGCGCCTTGGATGATGCCACTGAATTGCGGGCTCCCAGTGATGTGCATCTCGTACTGCTGCCGTTCTTGCCTGAATCCAAGAAGGAGGTTGCAGAATCGCTCATTGGTGCTTCAGCGAGTGGCCACATTGAGACTGTGCACGCCCTTTTGCGAGCCGGCGCTGATAAAGACCTGATGGGAGATGATGGCTACACAGCCCTTATTTGTGCGGGTAGGGAAGGCCACGCTGAAGTTGTGCGGGCGCTGGTTGAAGCCGGCGCTGACAAGGACTTCATGGGAGATGACGGAAACACTGCCCTTATTTGTGCATGCAGAGAGGGCCACATCGAGGTTGCCCGTGTGCTCGCGAAAGCTGGTGCTGAGATGGACTTGAAGGCAGATGATGGCAGCACAGCTTTGATCTGTGCATGCAGTGAAGGTCACGCTGCAGTCGTTAAAATTCTCTTGGAAGCTGGCGCTGACCCGGACTTGAAGAAGGGTGACGACAACACGGCTCTCATCTGTGCATGCATAGAAGGCCACACCGAGGTTGTGCGCTTGCTCACGAAGGCTGGTGCTGATATGGACTTGAGAGGTTATGCTGGTAACACTGCCCTAATTTGCGCATGCAGTGAAGGCCACGCCGAGATCGTGGACCTGTTGTTAGAAGCTGGTGCGAACAAAGCACTGAAGAACACTCTTGGCCATTCAGCTATTCAGTCCACATGCATTCAAGGCCACATAGAGACAATGCGAGTTCTGTTGAACTCTGGTGCTGGCCAGGACCTGAACGGAGGTGAAGAACCCGACCTTCTCATTCTTGCCTTCGGGTTCGACCACTTTGAGCTTGGATGCCTGTTGTTGGAAGCAGGTGCCAACAGTGACAGAGCCTTTCTTGGCGCATGCCAACGAGGCTACCTGGACCTTGTGCGTCTCTTCCTGGATGCCGATGCTAACATAAACTTTCAGAGGTTTGGCGGCAACACCGCTCTCATTGCTGCATGCAAGGAAGGACATCTCGAGGTTGTGCGTACGCTTCTCAAGGCTGGTGCTCACAAGGATTTAAAGGGAGATGATGGGAACACGGCACTCATCTGTGCAAGCAGGAACGGCCACCTTGTGGTTGTCCGCACGCTCGTGGCAGCTGGTGCCGACTTGGATGTAAAGGCAGATGACGGTTGTACGGCTCTCATTCGCGCATGCAGGCAAGGCCGCGTTGAGGTTGTTGGCGAGCTCATAGAATCTGGTTCGAACAAGGACATGGCGGGACATGACGGCAACACTGGACTCATTCATGCATGCAGACATGGCCACACTGAGATTGTGCGCATGCTCGTGCAGGCCGGTGCTCACAAGGACTGGCAGGGTGATGGTGGCAACACGGCCCTTATTTACGCATGTCGAGCAGGCCATGTCGAGGCTGTGACTCTGCTCCTCAAAGCTGGTGCAAACAAGGACTTGAAGGGAGATGACGGCAGCACAGCTTTGATCTGTGCATGTAAAAACCGCCACATTCCGGTCGCGCGTGTTCTTTTGGAAGCTGTTACTGAAAGGGTCTCCAAGGCTCTCGACTTCGCACGCGCTCGCCAGCGGCCACACTAAGGTTTCTGCACTTGCTGACTGTGCCTGTGGACTTGATCACACTCAGTGTGTACCTACATACCGCTGGCATGAGCTTGACCGCCGACGACAGACACACAGCTCATGAAAAGGTTGGGGGTGTTGGGGAATCATCTCATCGTGTGGACAACTTGCAAGCGGAGCTTGTGTGCCAAGGTTTAGAAGCGGAGGAACGGATGTGGCAAGTCATGGCGAAGTGTCTTTGGGTTTGCATGGTGTTGTTCAAGGAATGTGCGAGACTGGAATATGTCTTTAAGATGGTGAGATTGCGCGATTGTTTGTAGCATGTCATGGCGTCGAGATTTGGGCAAGATTCCGTCAAGTGTGAATCTTGTAAGGCCTAGCTTCTTCAGCTTCTTCTTGAAACATGTACAATGAAGTGGCATAACATGTGCGTCGGAATAACTGGCAATCCTATATTTTAGGTTTCCTTATTAGACTTTTACGATAACGAGCTCCAAAAGCCTATTCCAGCCTAAACCCTGTTCTAAGTAGCTTAACTGGGATGAGAAGTATAATTATACTTAAAGTTGCCTTATTTAGAACCTACAGTTACTAAGCCCCATGATCCTCTAAACCTTAAACCCTTCGAGATCCCTTTTAGGAAGCTTTTAGGCCTCTGGTTACTAAGTCAAATGATCCTTTGAGTAGGTCACGGCTAACCCTAAGGCCGCCAGCCCGAAAGGACTTCTTGCACGACCCCCCCCCTCCCCCCATGGCCCTTTAGTGAAAACCTTATGGTCCTTAATAGTGGGGATCTGGGGTACAATAGGGGGTAGTTGGGGGGTCCAGGTTGAAGGGCTGAGGGTAGGGTTTAGTTTAGGGTTTAGGGCCGTTTAGGGTGTAGGGTTTAGGGGGACGTTTTGGTTTGGGAGTCCGGTGTTCAGGGTTTGACCGTTCAGGGCTTCAGTGCTTTAGGGTTTCCGTGTTCGACGGCTTGGGGTGTTAAAGGGTCTGAGAGTTACGGGTTCTTGGCTGGCCCTTGGCCTTGTTCCATCATACACCCTACTCCCTAAATCCTCCCTTCGACCCTCAACACTACACCCTCCTGCAAAACGGCCTACACCGTGACGCCTTCAACCTTAAACTCCAAACCTGAGACGTCAATCTTCCAGAACTTCAACCCTTAACCCTGAAATGGGAGTTTCCGAAAATTAGGGGTACCTTATCTGGGGGTCCTTATAAAAAGGATCCTGCTAATTTGGTTCTACATTAGGGTCCCTAGTTAACGGAAACTCCCAAATCGACCCAAGACTCCGACCCCAAACCCTACCTCTAAGCTGCAAAAGCCCTGAAACGAGGCCGGCTACATGTTACTACAGATGCTCGAGCCGGCTGTCCAGCGACAGCCGGTGAAGCCCCGTGCTGTGAAGAAGGCCGCCTCTTCTTAGGGACCCTAGAAGGATATCCCTACCTTTTTGGGCGTCATTATTGGGGGGGGGGTTTATATGGCATATCTCCGTCCCAATTTTTGCCTATGTGCTTTTTTGGGGCCTTGTCTTCGGCATAAGGCATGGTTCAGGTTGTCGCAGGGCTTTTCTTGGGGGCTTTGAAGCTCCAGGACTCAGGGCTTAGAGTTGGGGTTATGGACGGTTCAGAGGTTCAGGGGTTTAGGGGTTTGGGGGGTTATGGGTTAAGGGTTTAGGGGGTTTACTCAAAGCCGGCCGGCGTGAACATAATCCGAAGCTGTAGGATTTTTTAGAAGGTACAGCCACGAGAACCCTACCCGAAGCAGCCATAACACTTGGAACATCATGATCCTCATGTCCGTAAGGTAAAGTATAAGCGATCCTAGCACTGCTCATCCTAGGCCCATGTTTCACCCTAAACCCCGAAGCCCAAACCCTACGCCCTAAACCCTAAACCCCTTTAAACCCCTGAACCCTAAGCCCTAAACCCTAAACCCCCTTAAACCCCTGAACACTAAGCCCTAAACCCTCAACCCCCTTAAACCCCTGAACACTAAGCCCTAAGCCCTCACCCCCCTTAAACCCCTGAACACTAAGCCCTAAGCCCTAAACCCCCCTTAAACCCCTGAACCCTAAGCCCTAAACCCTAAACCCCCTTAAACCCCTGAACCCTAAGCCCTAAACCCTAAACCCCCTTAAACCCCTGAACACTAAGCCCTAAACCCTAAACCCCCCTTAAACCCCTGAACACTAAGCCCTAAACCCTTAACCCCGTTAAACCCCTAAACCCAGGAAGCACGCGAGAAAGTAGTCGTCAAGCGCTTCTCTTCTTTTTTTTTTTTTACCCCCCCCTCCCCGCGAACTACTACTACTTCTTCTTTTGTGCATTCTAGAGCAGCCAAAGTAGTAGTAGTGGTGGTCGTCTTTCGCGGCGCTGCAGTCTTGAAGTAGTACTACCCCCCCACCCCCCCACCCAAAAAAAAAGTAGTCGCCCTCCCCTTGCTCACTTTTCTTCTATGCCTTCTAAAGCCGCCAGCAAAAGTAGTCGGTGTCTAGAAACGCCTACCTGTCTTGTAAAAACATGCATGATTTTTTGGTGCAGTAAAAAGAAACAGGGGGAAAAGAGAAGAGGTAGTGGGGGTAGTGGTGGGTTAGAAAAGAGGGAAGGGGAGAGGGGAGGGGAGAGGGAAGGGGAGGGGAGGGGAGAGGAGGGGAGAAGGGGAGGGAAGGGAGGGGGGAGGGGAGGGGAGGGGAGAGGGGACACGAGAAGGGAGGGGAGGGAGGGAGAGAGGAAGGGAAAGTAGTAGTGGTGGGTTAGAAAAGGGCGCGGTGTCTAGAAACGCCTACCTGTCTTGTAAAAACATGCATGATTTTTTGGTGCAGTAAAAAGAAACAGGGGGAAAAGAGAAAAGGTAGTGGGGGTAGTGGTGGGTTAGAAAAGGGCGCGGTGTCTAGAAACGCCTACCTGTCTTGTACAAACATGCATGATCTTTTGGTGCAGTAAAAAGAAACAGGGGGAAAAGAGAGGAGGTAGTGGGGGTAGTGGTGGGTTAGAAAAGGGCGCGGTGTCTAGAAACGCCTACCTGTCTTGAAAAAACATGCATGATTTGTTGGTGCAGTAAGAATAAACAAGGGGAAAAGAGAGGAGGAGACGGCAGGGAAAGCAGTAGTAGTGGTGGTGCTGGTGGGACGGGAAAGGCGGAAGGTGAGGGGAACGGAGGAAAGAGGAAGGGAGAGAAGGGGACAGGAGGGAGGAAGAGAAGGAAAGAAAGCGGAGTGCCTAGGGAAGGAGAGAGGGGAGAAAAGGAGCGCGCAGTGCCTAGATTTTCCACACATAGCTTGGAGAACGGAGGGACGGGTGGGGGGGACTAGTACTACTTCAAGACGGCAGCGCCGTGAAAGACGACCATCGGTACTACCACTTTTGTTGCTCTAGCCTTTTTTGGGGGCCGGGGTGGAGGGGACTAGTACTACTTCAGAGACGGAGTGAAGGAAACTAGTATTACTCCAGACACCCTGTTTCTTTTTACTGCACCAAAAAATCATGCATGTTTCTACAAGACAGGTAGGCGTTTCTAGACACCGCGCCCTTTTCTAACCCACCACTAGTACTACTTTCCCTACCCTCTCCCACCGTTTTTGCCCTCACCTTCCGCCTTTCCCGTCCACCCCAGCACCACCCTCCCCTCCTGCCCTCCCCTCCCCTCCCTCCGGCCACAGTGGCAAGGGCGGTGTGGTACAAAGGCAGGTGAGGGCAGTGAGCCCTCCCCTCCCCCCCTCCCCCTCCCTTCCCCTTCCCTCCCCTCCCCTCCCCTCCCTCCCCTCCCCTCCCCCCACTCGCCTTCCTCCCTCGCCGTCCCCACTACTTCTACTTTCCCTCCCCTCTCCATTCCTTTTCCTCCCCTCCCCTCCCCTCCCCTCCACTCTCCCCTCCCCTCTTCCCTTCCCCACCTCTACCAGCATCGCTCCTCTCTTCTTTCCCGTCTCTTCCCCTCACCTTCTGCCTCCCGCTTATTCTGAATGCACTAAAAAATCCTGCCATGTTTTTATAAAGCAGGTAGGCGTTTCTAGACACGCCCTTTAAATCTGCAGCTACGCCGGCCAGTCGTACCTTGCATGCTGTGCCACGTACCGCATTCCCGGCTCCGACAAGTCTTCGAGACAGAACCACTCCTAGTACTACTAGTACTGCTACTACTCCTAGTACTACAAGTACTGGTAGTACTACTAGTACTACTAGTACTACTAGTACTACTAGTACTACTAGTACTACTAGTGCTACTACTACTACTACTACTACTACTACTACTACTACTACTACTACTACTACTACTACTACTACTACTACTACTTCTACTACTACTACCACCACAGCTGCTGCTGCTACTACTACTACTACTACTACTACTACTACTACTACTACTACTACTACTACTACTACTACTACTACTACTATTACTACCACCACAGCTGCTGCTGCTGCTACTACTACTACTACTACGACTACTACTACTACTACTACTGCTGCTACTGCTGCTGCTACTACTGCTACCACCACTACTAGACTTCTAGTCTAGCACCAGTGCCGCCTGCGGCTGTTCCGGGCAATGCCGACTCTTGTGCTGACTAGTGGCGGGCCGACCTGCCCGCAGTGCGGAACCGCGCTCACAGAGCTCCGCGCCTCTCGACTTCAGGAAGCCTGGGAGGACGCTCCAGACCGTAGCCACCTCGACAGCAGCTTCGCCCTAGCAACATAGTTTGCAGGACTTCCCCGTCAAGTGGCAGCAGCTGGGCGAGCGTCGCTTCTGGCGCCTCTGCTTGCCTTGTCACCAGGTTGCTTGGCCGGAGGCCCGGAAGGGTTGCACTTGCCTGCTTCTGCTAGCTCGACGAGCTCTTTCTTCCCTGCAGCGCAGGATGGGCGCTGTGGTAATCGGCACTGCAGGCCTCGCGGCATCGACATCTGCGCTTGCCCACGGCTGCAGGTAGGCACTTTTTACTTGACGCAGCCACCGCCAGAACTTGCAGCTCGTCTGAACTGTTACGGCACTGTCACTGCCGCCTCAACGACCACAGCCCATCATACGTCATTTCGGCTGAGGTACGCCTGCCCTCGAAGCCGCAGCCGTCGCAGCCGCCAGTGTTGCAGAGACTCCCGAAGGATGCTGCTGCTCGCTCGAACAACTGTGAAGCAAGTGCTGCTCTAGCCTCTACTCGTCCACTGCAGGCGGCCGTGCCGCCGCCTCTGAAGCGGCTCCGGCCCGGCGAGACGGATGCTGTGGCTTGGCTTTGCCATCCGCAAACAGCACCTTGCCCGAGCCCAGCCACAGTCATGTCAAGATCGTGAAACCCAGGCCTCCGGCAGCGGTCCTTGTTCACTGAGTGGGCTGTCTCACTTGCATGTGTCACGGAAGCACGTGTCGTGGGCAGAGCCGCTCGTCACGTGTGTTGCACCGGCACTTGCATATGATCGAACCTGGGCCGGTCCTGCCTGGCCGTCCCGGCGGCATCAGCCGGCGCGATGTAGCCTTTGCAAGGCCGTCGTTTCGGGCGTGCGTTGCATCAGGGTTTTGGACGCCGAGACGCCTTACTTGCAGACACACTCGGCTGAGCTCTGCTGCGCCTGCTGCCAGAGGCTGCAATGTGATGCCACAGGGCAGGAACTTGCGGAGCTAGAGACTACCGTTACCTCGAATGCTGCAGCCGCGGGGGGTTGCAAAAGTAAACTGAAGCCGGCTGCGACCCGCCAACTGCGTGCCCAGCTTTGCCAGTTTTGCTATGGTTCGACCCCCCCTGTCCCAAAAAAAAACCCTTCGCGTGCAGCCTCCCTAAACCCTAAACTTTAAACCCCAAACCCTCCCAACTTTCTGGGGATCGCTGTTTCTACAGCGCTCTGGGACACCGGCCCGGAGACCCCAACGCGAGCTGTGACTTCGGAGTTGTTGCAGCTTTTGCGCTGGGGAGATGTGCAGTTGGCCCGGTTTCGGGGGGGGGCGCGGGCGGTTTAGGGTGTAGGGTTTAGGGTTTAGAATTTTAGGGTTTAGGGTGTAGCGTTTATAAGTGTAGGGTTTAGGATTTAGGATTTTAGGGTTTAGGGTGTAGGTTTAAGGTTTAGGGTTTCGCGTCCAGGATTTTAAGTTGAGGCGCCCACTGCCGGCTGCAACTGCGAGATGGGTAAGCCGCAGCTCCAATCCAATAGCTGCAGCGCGATGTTGAGCTGCAGCCTGGTGGGGCACATCCTGCCCCGTTTCGGGTTTAGGGCTTAGGGCACCTCGAATTGAGGGCTGCGACGGCTCACGGCACGGGCTCGGTGCACACGCTGGTCTTTGTCGGCATCGACGTCGCTCAAAAGTCCTGCAAAGGACTGCTTTTGCGAGTCGCATCCTCCCATCGCACGCGAGGCAATGGAGGAAGCTGCTGTTCCGTTCAGGGTGGGGTTTTGCACTTAACTTTTTTGGCTGCCTGTCTCCAATCCGTTTCGTGTGTCGCCTCATTTGCGGGCATCTTATATTGAATGCACCGTGTGGTTATGTTCGTCGCCAGGACTTTTAGCCTCAGGTCATGTGAAACAATGACCTACTTAGGGTTTAGGGTTTTCGAGGCTTAGGGTTTAGGGCCTAGGGTTTATGGGTTTATGGTTGAGGGTTGAGGGGTTTAGGGTTTGAGCAGCAAGACGAGTCTCACGGGTACGGTCGGTGTCCAGCCACCCGCAAGGTCTACCCAAAAAGCAATAAATCTTGATTAGGCTAAGGTAATGACCGAACAGTGAAGAGCTCGAACCAGTGGACAAGGTTGCCCACCCCAAGTCGTTATATAGTACGAAATAGTACATCCTTTATGATCTGATGTAATGTAAAACAGTATTAATATGATAAATCCTAAACCCGGTTCATGTTGGACTGTTTGCATGTCGCAGGCACGCTGGGAAATCACTCTTCAGGTCCTTGTCCTTATAAAGGCTTACAATGAAACAGAAGAATCCCTGACGTCAATCAATACCCGAGGTGTGAAACACGAGCGCCAATTCCTAGACCTCTCAAAGGGAAACCAGCTCGTCAAGAAGCCCTAAGTCCCGGACTCCCTAATCCGTAGTGCCAGACGCCGAAATGTCTCTAATGCGGACAAGATTTCTGATTTTTCAGGGCCCACCTAAACCCTAGGCCCTAAACCTTAAACCCACTTAAACCCGAAACACTAAGCCCTAAACCCCAAACCCACCTGAACCCGAACCCTTAAGCCCCCTATATACACCGTAAAGAGCCTTACACCCACCCCTCGCCCTTCGCCTTCCAGCCTCTTTCTCTTGGGAGGAGCGCGCCGTGGCCACTCCGCCCCCCACGCCCCTTCCCGAGCGCCGGCTTCCGCGACGAGGCCATGACTTGCAGCTATAGTGTTGGGGTAGTTGTAGGGATTAGGCTTATAACGTTTCATATTTTGCGCTTGTAGGATTTATATAGGCTTAGAAGGTTTCATAGTTTGGGCTTGTAGGGTTTAGGCTTACGGTAGCAGTTTATATTGCGGGCTTGTAGGGTTTAGGCTTTTAAGGTTTTGGGGTTCAGGTCCGGGACCGTATGCTGAGGATGTCAGGTGGCGATTGCAGCGGCGGACCGTACACAGATTGTGTGGCTTCTCCGCTGCTTCTGCAGGGCTTGAAGATATCTGAATCCCCTCCGATCTGCGTAGGTGGGTTACTGCTTGATGCAGGGCGCTTTCATTGCAGCGGTGATTGAATTGCCGAATATGCGCAGTATCTGCAGGTGTTAGCATCTCCATACGGTTTGTTTATTACATAGTCAATAATTAAATAGGTAAATAAATAAAGAAAAAAAGTAATTACAAAGAATCAAGTGTACATACATGGACATAGATACATACACACTCTCCCTCTCTCTCCCCCTGTCTCTCCCCTCTCTCTCTCTCTCTCTCTCTCTCTCTCTCTCTCTCTCTCTCTCTCTCTCTCTCTCTCTCTCTCTCTCTCTCTCTCTCTCTCTCTCTCTCTCTCTCTCTCTCTCTCTCTCTCTCTCTGTCTGTATTCATTCTGAGTTTTAGCATAATCCTCGGATTGTCACGGTGCTCTTACATCCGAAGCATTATGCGCGGTGTGCTCAGTTTGGGAGCTGAACTTGAACAGCTGTTGGTCCTGTACATGCTGCATTTGCGGTGTTTTTTCTAAAAACATAGATCCTAAACCCTACAGACTGAGCCTGCTGTTGTGATGGCAACCTGTACAAGCCACTCCTGTGCTCCCCCAGCAACCCCCACCCCCAAACCCTAAGATCTACGCTTCAGTCCCTTTTTTTTCTTCGCTCCATCGTGCAAGAGTCTCTGGACAGGCTTCACAGCTGCTGAGGACGAGAAGTGGAGCCAACTTCGTTCCAAGGCCTGCGTTGGGTTTGGCTTTATTGTCCGGCGCTTTCAGGCCCCTCCCAAACCCTCCTAAACCCTCCTAAATCCTCCACTAAACCCTCCTAAACTCTCCTAAACCCTCCTAAACCCCAAAAGCCCTACATATCCTAAACCCCAAACCCCCATAAACCCTGCAAGCCCTAAACCCCACACATCTTGACCTTTTCCGGAAGGCAACGCCAACCGTGCAGCCGCCGTGACTTGGCTTTTTCTCTACCAAAAGCCGCAGGCTGCAGGCCTCTCTTTCTTCTAGGGTGTGGGGTTTGTTATAGGGTTGAGGGTTTAGGGTTGAGGGTTTAGCCTTATCAGCTGGACTTCAAATCATGAGAACCGGGTTTTGGGGGGTACTGTAGGAAACTGGGCGCGATGAGCGGAAACTATCAGAAATCTACCGACCTTGTACTATCTCTGTCAGACCTTCAGCGATGTCATTGGGATCATTACCTGTGCCGGGTATTGGCCTTGGGTTTGTCAGGATACCAGACTTCGGGTGCTTGCGATGATTGTGGCGCAACATGGGGGTTTAGTAGGGATTAGGGTTCCCATAATAGGGACCCTAAACCCTAAACCCTAAACCCTAAACCGTCAGGGTTCATATTAAGGAATCCCTACCCCCAGAATCTTAAACCCCCCCTTTTTGGCCTCCTATCAGCAGAGACCCTGTGCCGGTCCTGAAGGTTTCTGAGAGGAAGATCCCTACTTGAAGGCTCATGGGACTTAGTAAGTAAGGTTATAAGTAGGTTATAATTAGGGTAACCCCACTTAGGGGACTTATAACCCCAATTATAACCTACTTACTAAGTCCCATGATCCTCTAAGTAGGGGCCGGGAGGTCCCAGGGCTCGGGGCCTGGAGGTCGTAGTTTAGGGTTTAGGGGTTTTAGGGCTTTAGGGGTTTAGGGTTTAGGGGTTTAGGGGTTTAGGGGTTTAGGGCTTTAGGGGTTTAGGGCTTTAGGGGTTTAGGGTGTAGGGGTTTAGGGTTTAGGGGTTTAGGGTTTAGGGGTTCAGGGTTTAGGGTTTAGGGGCTTACTTACTTCGGACTACCACATGAGCGAGTTTCAGAACATCGGGGACCCGGCTGTATCCCCAAGCGTTGAATGCAAAACACTAAGTCCTAAACACTAGTCCCTAAATCCTAAACCCTAAGCTGTATGGTACTACAGATCATGCAGGCTCCTATAGGTTCTTGACTTCCATATCTACTTTTGCACCTTCGCGGCTCCAGAACTGTTCATGGCTTTTGGGGGGGGGTTGAAGAGCTTTGAGAGGCTGCAGGAGTTCAGCTCTTGCGGTCTCGGGTGTAGGGTGTAGATGTGATGGCGACTCAGCGTCATTTTCTAGGTGGCAATTTGGGAAACTTTTTAATTTCCCTTATGGTTCCTATAAAAGTACCTATTCATAAATACTTTTCAGAGCCCCAAAACTGCAACCCAGTTTTACTTTCTGCCTAAACTCTACAATTGTCGAGACCGGCGTAGCTTGTTCGACTAGAGAAGGCTCGAACTGGATTTGCTGCACCCTAAGCTCCTTAACTTAGACCCTAACTTAGACCCTAAAACCTTAAACCCTAAAGCCCTAACCCCTAAACCCTCAACCCTAAACCCTAACCCCTCAAAGCCTTAAACCCTAAACCCTAAACCTTTAACCCGAACCCTAAACCCAAAACCCTAAAGCCCTAACCCCTAAACCCTCAACCCTCAACCTTTAACCCGAACCCTAAACCCTAACCCCTACAAAAGCGGGGAGCCACCCAGGGCCGTGAAGCCGGAAGTCCGCCGTCCCAGCGTGATGCCGGTCCAGGCAGCTTCCTTGTTCTTTTGGGTTTAGGGTTTAGGGTTTAGGGGTTTAGGGATTTAGGGTTTAGGGTTTAGGGGTTTAGGGGTTTAGGGTTTAGGGTTTAGGGGTTTTGGATCTAGGGTTGAGGGTTTGGGGTTTAGGGAAGGAGCGATGTTTAGTACATTCATCAGGGCTTATCGAGTTTATCAGGCTGTTGTGGAGTTCTACATGGGGCTTGTATGGCTTCTATTACAAAACTGTTTTGACCACTTCGAAAACACCGACAACAACCGCATTTAAGAAAGCCTACGGAGTCCGATGGAGGCATAAATGAAGACCTCTGTAAACAGTCTGTGAGCACGATCTTAGTCCTGAAGGCCCTAAACCTCAAGTTTAAACCGAAAACCCAACGTATTCTAGTTCTTCAGCCCTGAACCCGATCCGAAAACCCTCAACCCTGTTCCTGGTGTTTCAGGCCCTAGACTTACAACCTCAAAGCTGAGACCCTGTCGAGAGGCCCCGCGATTCGCTGCCAGCGGATTTGAGGCCGAGGTGGCAACCAGAGGGCTGAGATTTGGGTGCCGTTGTGGGGTTTAGGGCTTAGGGTTCCTTAGGGTTCCTATAAGGACTATACTATAAGGGATCTGTAAGGGCACTATAACGGGTTTAGGGCTAAGGGTTCAGGGCTTGGGGCGTAGGGTTTAGGGATGAGGGCTGAGATGTCAGACTTCTTGCGTTTCAGTTTAACGTCGTTATAGGGTCCCGAAGAGTTAGCACTGCGGTTAATGATATAAATCACCCTGAAGCTATGGGAATTATTGTATACTCCTTATTATGGGTAATCCAGGATGTGGATCATCAGAATCATCACCCGCGTTACCCATCTCTAAATCCCTGAACTTCTTCACTTCACTTCACTGCGGTATATTCCCTAAACCCTAAACCCTAAACCCTAAACCCTAAATCCCTGAACCCTAAACCCTAAACCCTAAATCCCTGAACCCTAAACCCTAAACCCTAAACCCTAAATCCCTGAACACTAAACCCTAAACCCTAAACCCTAAATCCCTGAACACTAAACCCTAAACCCTAAACCCTAAATCCCTGAACCCCAAATCCCAAACTCTTGAGCAGCCTCGCGAGGTCGTTGAACTCCTGACTACGCTGCAGCCGAAGCTCGGCGAGCATCTTCTGTTAGGGGACAAAAAAGAACATAAGCATAAGCATTTTATAGGGATACTTCCTTATAAGGGGGTTTATATGGGATATCCCTATCCTAATTTTTGCTTATGTGCTTTTTTGGGGCTCTATTCTGGAGAGTTGCTTAGGGTTCTTGCCCAATAGAAGGGCCGGAGCAATTCGTAAGGCCATTTCTTAGGGTTTCTGTTATAAATATACTTTTGGGACTATACCGCCATCTTCTGTTTCGAATAAGATGCCGGCTGCTACGACCTTGGGCAGTGCTTTTGGATGATGCTTTACGTGAAGAACTTCCTCCTCGGGACATGCATGGACGGCAGGCACCTGCCGCCGGCGATCAAGAAAACGCTGAGGCAGGTCGTCAGCCACTTCCTTCCTGGAGCAACTCCGCCCAGCGACCGACTCTCCTGGCACGCGTGGCCGAGCTCTGCCCTTTCGTTCCTCGAGTTGGTGGAGCAGGCTAGTGTGGCTTGGGATGAGGAACTCGAAAGCAGCTCATAAGATCATCCAGGAGTACAGTAGTCTGCTCACAAGGAGACAGCAGGCCGTTGATGACAATCTGGAGAACGAGATGAAGGCAAGGCACGAGAAGCTTTCCGCCGCCCGGGTTGTCAAGGACGACGATGAGCTGGAGCCCGGCTCCGGTCGTAAAGGAAGCAGCGAGTGTAGTAACTGTAGTAGTAGCAGTAGTAGTAGTAGTAGTAGTAGTAGTAGTAGTAGTAGTAGTAGTAGTAGTAGTAGTAGTAGTAGTAGTAGTAGTAGTAGTAGTGAAGTTCATAGTGAGTAGTGACTAGGAGAGTGAAGCAGTGTGCTGTTGCTGCTCCTGGTTGTCTAGTCGTCTAGTGAGTCTAGCTGCTGGCGAGGGGCGGCACCAGTTTCAGTTGTTCACGGGCTTTTCAGTTCAGGTTCTCGCCGGGTTTGGTTAAACTGTTAAACGGCTTTCAGGGATTAGGGGCTCAAGGGTTTAGGGGGTTTAGGGTTGAATGCTTTGGTTCCGTTCGCGCTCCGAAACCGCATACTTACCGTGAACCCCGAACCCCGGACTCTAAACTCGAAGCCCAAAGTATCCCTACACAGTAAGCCCTCAGTCCCACAGCTAAAGCCCTGAACTCTGACCGTAAACTTTCAATCGTAAACTCTTAGGCCGGAGAAGTGCACGGAATATCTAGTTTAGGGTTAAGGGTTTATAGGGGGTAGCAACTAACAATGCCGTCCCCGCATAAATAAACGAAAACATACCCGGAGAGCGAAGCTTCAGCAATGTATGATCGAAACTGGTGCTAAGTCTTACTGGCCCACCGTGCTGACCAGCGATGGCACTTTTGAGAGCGGAGGGCTCTGAGGTACTGCATTCAGAGGATCATGTGGCTTAGTAAGTAGTGTTCCTTAAAGGGTTCCTTAAAAGGGATCTGCAGGGATTTAGGGCGGGCTTAGGGTTCAGGGCCACTTAGAGGATCACGGGACCTAGTAAGTAAGGTTACAAGTACCGTAATTGGGATTGTATACGTCATGATTACTAGAGTTACTTTGGTTGTAACCCGAGTTGCTAATTCCCCATGATCTTTTAAGTAGATGTCTTAGATGATTAGAGCAGGTTTCGGGGATGTATCATGCTGGGGAGTTTAATAAGGAACCCTCAGGACCTTACGAAGGGACTCTGAGGAAGACTACGCTGAGAATCCCGAAGAACTACGATTCGATTGTTATCATCATTCTTACTACTTCTGTTCTGATTATGATAGTCGAATCTACCCCAAAACTCCTAGATTGCTAAGCCCTAAGACCCAAGCCCTAGACCCTAAACCCTATTCCCTAAACCAAAAAAGTGCCCAACTCCCAGGAACGATGCGAGCCGTGCACAAGTCCAGGCCATCGCGAGGCCGCTTTTGGAGGGGCCCCCGAGTTGAGGATTTGGAGCATTTTGGGGTTTAGGGGGGTTTAGGGTTTTGGGTTTGGGGGTATCGGAGTTAGGAGTTTAAAGTTTGGGGTTGTAGGGTTGTAGGGTTTGGGATTTTCGGGCTTCTTTTGACTTTGGGTTTTTTTCCAGGTTTAGGGGCCCTGCGCCAGCCCAGTGCAGGCTTAGGGCTAGCTGAATGAGGCCGGAAGCCTAAGGCACCCAAACCCCTGAACTCCAAAATCCACGGTTTAGGGTTTAGGGTTTAGGCTCACGGGTTGTATGTCTGTTCCTCCGCTTCAGCACTTCTGCTCCCTGTGTGGAGCTCCCAGTATCTTTAGCCTGTGGCCGAGGGTCCCAGGGTCAAGTGTGCCCTAAACCCTAAACCCTAAACCCTAAACCCTAAACCCTAAACCCTAAACCCTAAACCCTAGCCGAGGGTCCCCTGCCTGTTTGTGCCTGTCAGCTTGTCCATCTCTTGGACCCTGCAAGCCCCGAACCCCAAAACTTCTGCATCGGCCATTGGGGCCTTAGCAATTAGGATGGGGTTTGGGGGCTGTCGTACTTTCGCTACAATAAGGAAATAGCAGAGGTCATTTATTTAGGCCTCTATAGTAATCCTTATACGTCGATCCTTACCATAGATCTTGAAGATTTCCAAAGTTCACAAGCCCTCAGCCGCCAGACCATCTTAGGCCTTAAACCACAAAGCAGTAAACCCCATACACCATGTTAGCCTCCAGACCCTTAGTAGTAGAATAGGCAGCCTCTAGCATAATCCCTATATAATCCCAGGGGCTAACTGTTGAACATGCTAATTTCTGGCGTTGCCAGGGCAGTCCGTCGTGCTCTGGGCTCCGCACTGCCCGGCGCCACCGTGGAGGCTTTCGCCACGGCGAACCCCGCACCCCGGTCAAGGTTCAGGGGTCTGTTTCGAGATCAACTTATGAGGGTTGAAGTGGGAGCTTTAGGGCATGGAGATCCGAAGTTATCTGTTCTTTATACAGGTCTACAGTGGTGTAGAAATTTTCTCTCAATTCGGTTGTCGAGCTGCTTGGTGGTTAAGTAAGCCTGGAAGCCAGAGAGCCGTAAACGTCCCACCTAGCCATCCTTAAAGCCTAGTAGAGCCCTACCCATAGGCCTGATGGCAGTTCCTTTTTGCGATGACCTTGTAGGGTTAGAAATATGAACCCCCAGCAAGGAGTTACGGGGCCTATGGGTACAGCAACGGACCAAGGTCTCCGGAACTGCTTTTGGCGTGGCTGTCCCTGAGGTGGAGGTCGTGGTGACACTGGACGCGAAGGTTCCGAGGGGAACGACAGACTCCTTCTTTCCCTCCACTTCTCTGTCTGGTTCTTAGTAGGGAATAGGGGAATGGGTTATGGGGACTACTGTTGCGGATTCTACAGCGACTACTATAGGGATCCGTTCCCCCATTCCCTGCTAAGCACCAGACAGTTCTACATGGTCGCGCACCCCTGGGATGCAGTCTTGTTGGTGGTTGAAGGTGAAGCAATGCACCCTCAGGTATCGAAGGGTTCGGGAAGTGTCGAATTGCGTAAGCTCACTATCTATTTGCAACTTAAACCCTAAATCCTACAGCTACACCTGCAGCTCCAACCGCAAAAGAAGAATTCCAACTGCCAAAGATACGCTTCTTTCCGAAACGGTGAGGCGACTTCCGGCGAAGGTGGGAAGCTACAGAAGTCGATGATCCGCACCTGTCAGGTCCCAAGAGTGCAGCATCACATTAAGCAGTATGTTTCTGCGTGTGTGTGTGTGTGACGACATTGATACTGCTGCTGGACGGGATTTCGTTCGACAGTCGTAGTGGTGTTTCGGCAGCTACTACTGATGATGAGGAAGAAGATGATGAAACGACAAAGGTATGCTTAATTAGGGCATGATGGTGTTGTGGGTGAATATGACCAGGATGCTGACGACAATGACGGTGATGAATATGAACGGTGAATACCACGATGATCGTAAGCTGGAGGACTTGCACCACTTCTGGGAACTTCGAGCTCATGGGTTCTTGGCTGTGGGTGGCGGCGAATAAAAGGACTCATCCTAGGGTTTTGCTTGGTGTTGGTGTTGGTTTTGGCCTTCCCGGCGTTGTTTCGGGTCTACGATAAGTTTCGGGCTCAGGATTTAAGGCTTAGGGCGTTTAGGGCTTAGGGTTCATAGGGTTGATATTACAATGCCGCAAGGGTATCTCCCACAATCCTCGTCGCTGAACCCCAAGCTCTAAACTGTAAGCTCTACTATGCTCCCAAAGCCTAAACCACCAGCCCGCCGTTCCAATGGCTTCTTTACCACCAAAATCTCCACCCCTCAGACACTTAATCTCTAACACCTATAAGACCTATAAGCCTCAATCTCTGACCCCTGAGCTCTAATCTCTAATAACCCTAAACCCTAACCCCCCCTATCCCTAATTTCTACGCCCCCAACGCGCGAGACCTGAAAGGTACCGACCGCCTGGTCTCCCAGGGATCCTTCAAGTTCAGGCCCAGTCGCCTCACGCTTCCTTTGGGAGTTTCCGAAAAAAGGGCGTACCTGAGGGTCCTTTTAAAAGGGTTGCTAAGTATTAGGGGTTATATGGGAGTCTCCGAAGACTGGGGGTACCTTAGGGTTCCTGTTAAAGGGTTGCTATAAGGGTACGAAACAGGGTTTAGGTTTGAGGGGGGGTATATGAGAGCTTCCGAAACTAGGGGTCCCTTATTAGGGTTTCTTTTAAAGGGTTATACTATAAGGGTGCTATATGGGGTTTAGGGTTTAGGAAGTTATAAGGGGGTTTCCGAAAATAAGGGACTCGAATATAGTACCCTAAATAGTAGGATCCCGATTACAAGGACCCCCAAGATAAGTAAGGTACCCCTGTTTTCGGAAACTCCCATATACATCCTCAACTTGTTTAGGGTTCAGGGTTTAGTCCTAAACCAAACACCTTGAAACCCCCAAACCTTCAACCCTTTTCGGACCTTCGTTTGGGTTGAAGGGCTTCGTTAGGCTTTTAGAAGGATCTTCACGGGTGTTCTTGGGGTACCCTTAGCCCTAAGCCCGAAACCCTTAAGCCCTAAACCCTGAAACCGTAAACCCTAAACCCTAGACCCTTAAACCCCTAAACCCTTAAACCCTTAAGCCCGAAACCCTTAAACCCCAAACCCTAAACCCTTACACCCTAAGGGCTAAAGCCTAAAACTTGAACAAGTCTTTCATGTTCTTCGGAGGGTTGTTAGGGCGTCTCGGGGGGCTGGGTATCATAGGGACGCTTAGGGGGGTAGGGGTGAGTTTAGGGTTTATGGGTTTAGGGCTTAGGGTTTAGAGTTTAGGGTCTAGGGTTTAGAGGTTAGGGTTTACGGTTTAGCGTTTAGGGGGGTTGGGGACTATACTTCCTTAAATAGGCCTTATTAAGTCTTTATAAAAGGTATTAAGGCCCCCAACCCCCTAAGGGTCGTTATGAGGATAGGGTCAGCAATTTGCTTTACGACGCAAGGGTTTTTGTCTACAGTGGCTTAAGGTTTGGAGCTTTAAAGTTGCAGAGTTTTAGGGTTCAGATGGCTTGCGGGTGCTGGTCCGCTTCGCGAAGGGTTTGAAGGTTTGCGTTTTAGCTGTGTTTCTGGGGGTGAGGGGTTCAAGAAGGATCCTGGAGTACGCTCGGCCAGTGAGCCCAGAAACGCTCACATCCCTCAAGTAGGGTTCCCTTGCAAGGGTTCATAGTCATAACCTAAAGCATGTTTCTTAGCTGGGTGACTTTCGGAGTCTGTGCGGGAAAGCTTCGTGCGTCCCGCGAGACGTACTTCTACGAAGGCAAGCTTCAACCACTTGTGTTTTGAGGCAGTAGGGCTTAGAATTTCGGGGTGTGGTCTTTCGCGGGCGGTCAAGGCGGCACGTCCTCCCATCACCCTTACCTTTGAAAGCAACATTGCAACACCCAGACCGCAACGAAACGACTCCCCAATCCCCCGTTAGGATCTGGAAAGTAGATCCCCTAATTTGGGGACCCCACTACTAAGGGTACTTATAGGAACCCAAATTAAGGCATTAAGGGATCTACTTTTGGGATCCTCCCGGGGGTCTGGGTCAACTTTCTTGTGGACTCCTGCACTGGACCCTACCTGAAGCTCTGACTCCTACCCGCTGCAAGCTCCAAAGTTCAAGATCCCATACCCGAAGATGCAAAACCCTAGACTCCTAAACCGCCCTAAACCCTACACCCTAAACCCTAGACCCAAGCCCTAACACAGGTAAAGCCCAAAAAGCATTGAATTAAAGCCTGTGATCCTCAAGGCCGCAAGCTGAGAGCTCAACGTCCGAGTAGCACTGACAGACCTCCCAGTCCCCCTGGGAGTTTCCGAAAAATAGGGGTACCTTTAAAGGGAGCCTTTAAGGGCTCCTAAAAGGGATCTATACGGGTTTTATTTAGGGTGCAGGGTTTAGAGTTTCCGAAAATTAGGGGTACCCCCTCGACCCTAAAGCACCCCAAAGCCCTGAACCCCTCCTAACCCCTGACAGGAAGCCCTTCCAAAAGAGTCCTTACCCGCTTACCCTCAAACCCCAAACCCTAAACTCTAAACCCTAAACCTTCAATAGCACCCTTATAGATCCCATTATAGACCCCTAAAATAACTTTAAAGAGGCCGATAGGCCCACAGTACCATTACAGATCCTTTTAGGAACCCTTCTACGAATCCTTAGGAACCCCTATAGGAACGCTTCCCTTATAGGAGCCCTTTAAAAGAGGTCTTGGAGATCTCTTTCAAGAAACCCCTAAACCTTACCCTGACAGACCCCTAAACCCTACCCTTATAGACCCCTAAACCCCTAAAGCCTAGAACCCTAGAACCCTTGAAAGGACACCCTTTCAAGGCCCTTAACCCTAAACCCTAACAAGCACCCTTATAATCCCTCCTAGTCTCCTTTTGTATTCGGGGGTGGGGGTCCGGGGGACGTTCCAATACATTATTTCAAGGTTTCCTGGTGACACAGGATTGGGAAATGTATTGGCCGGTGGGTCGTTTTAGCATAGTATATATGGACACGAGTCCTTCTCATTTAAGCCACTGAGGCTTGCTGTATTTCAGTGCAGAAATGTACACAACACGCAGGAGATCTTACGCAAAGAGGGAGAGAGAGGGAGAGAGAGTTGCTTCGACCGCTCGGGTGGGATGCCTGCCAGCTGCAACGAGTGCGAAATCGAGCCGCCGCGATGGTTTATGTTGGCTCAGGGGCTCGCGTGTAGCCGGGGGTTGGGAGCTGGACCTGGACATGTGTCCCGGCTAGCAATTGTTTGCAGGGGTCTGCTATCTGAGACTGTCTCTGGTTGCCGAGGCCTCCGAAGAAAAAGGCCCGAAGGGCACCGGCTGCGGCAGATGGGGCGGATGGCTTAGGTGCGCTGCGACCGGTGATGAGATATGGGGTGCAGACCCAGTGGGCAGCCTCTTGGCTCAACTGTTTGGGTTTGGGTGGCGGTGGCGGGGGCTCCCGGATGCGTTTGAGGTTTGCTTTCCTTCACCGGCACTCACAAGTTGGGTCGCCTTCACCACGGTGGGCGACAAGGACTTGGCGCAGGAGCTGTTCCAGATCTGCATTTTGTCAAGAACCCATGAGTATCAGCACCTCAGAAAGATCCTTGGCGTATCAGGCTAGACATCTGCCGCATGCACACCGACATGTCGCGTGACGAGCTTCGTGTGCTGTGCTCCCTGACAGCATTGCCGTGCCCTATCAGCCCTTGCATGAAGACGACGTCTGCGACTTGCTAGGCAAGACGCTGCGGTCCAAGGGTGGAGACAGCAAGGCCGCCACTGAGCGTCTTCATTTCATCCCAGCTTAGCCTCGTGTTGGCCGCATGCTTGCTCCACTCAAAGTCCCACGCAGCCATTTGGCTTGCTGGGAGAAGCTGCTTAGAGATGAGCTCTCCGCTGTCCGCCATGGACATTGGAGCCCTCTTCAGGATGATGATGCGAGATCTCTTGCGGCTTCTTGCTCCTTGGCTTGCCGCGAGTCTGGTCTTGTGATGTCTGATGTGCATCTGGGCTCGGATGTCGAATGAGGTCCACATGTACTGTGGACGTGAGCTTCCGCGGCAGGCACTTGGAGGGAGACCGGTAGATCTGTGATGAGACCTGCACCAACCTGCCCGGGCCCAGACGACGATGGTCCACAGTTCTTCCTCGTCGTCTGTTGCCCGGAGCTCAGCGGCTCCGTGTCTCTGCTCGCGTACGATTGAAGGGGGCATGTGAACATATGTGAAGACGTTGTGCTGGGAGGCAAATGAGCTCACAAGCTGGAGTGTGCGGTGCCCAGTTGTCGGAGTGATTGTCAAAGTGTGGTGTTGAAGTTTTTCTTTTTCGGTTCCTAGGACGGGGAGTCGGTTCCCATGACGCCGCCGGGCATGCGCCCACAGGCTGTTCTATTCTGTGAGCGTTTATTCTGTGCGTGCGCAGCTGTGTTTTGCTGGCTAGGTGCCACATGATTGTGAGTCGGATTCTGTCTGGGCCCTTGCAACCCTGAGCCATTCCATTCCAGCCCCGTCATGCCTACTGTGGATCAGGACTGGCCTCCAATCATCTCTTCGAGGACACCTGGGTCGCTGGCTGTTGCTCATGTCTCAGTTTTGGGTTCGCTTTGTGTTTGCTGTCTTGTTGGGTGTGTTTGTGTGTGTGTGTGTGTGTGTGTGTGCGTGTGTGTCTGTGTGTCTGTTGCATCCTCGGCGAGAGCTCCGATGACCCCTCCTTGGCCTCCGACTCCTGCCCATGTCTCAGTGTTGGGGGTCGCCTCCTTTGTCGGGTGTTGCTGTGGGCCTGCGGAATCCAGGCCACGTCTTCATGGGAAGCTCCGAGGACACCTCCTTGGCCTCCGACTCCCGCCCATGTCTCAGTGTTGGGGTCGCCTCCTTTGTCGGGTGTTGCGGTGGGTTTGCGGAATCCAGGCCACGTCTTCGTGGGAAGCTCCGAGGACGCCTCCTTGGCCTCCGGCTGCTCATGCCTCAGTTTAAGGTTCGCCTCCAATGTCGTGTGTTGCTGTGGGCTTGATGAATCCAGGTCGCATCAAGTATGAGATCTCCGATGACACCGCCTTGGCCTCCGGCTGATGCTCACGGCTTATTATGCGGGTCACATCCTGCTTCCGGTGTTGGTGTTTGTGTTTGCTGATTCTAGGTCCCAGTGCCTAGAACGCCTCCTTCGATGCGGAGATCTTCCTTAGCCTTAGTGCATGCCCGGACCTCGTTACTTAGAGGCTGTGTCTCGACCCCCGTATGAAGCCCGAGGCGGTGGCCACCAGCGCTCAGGTTTGCTTTTGTTGGCAGGGCGGATGAGATTAGGGGTTTAGGGGTTTCGGGGCTAGGGGTTTAGAGTTTAGAGGCTTAGGGGTTTGGGGGTTTAGGGGTTTCGGGTTTAGGTTCTAAGCATTGCGCAACTCAGGCTGGAGGGTGCGATGACAGCCCTTTCGAGCATTTTGCCTGGACCTCGTGGTTTGTTTCGGTTTTTCTTGCCGTACGAATATGGCGTGTTTGATTGTGCTTAGGCCGGCTGTCCTGTTACTCCTCCAGAGGCATTCGCTTGAATCTCAACGTTTCTTCAGCGTGCTTCTTTATCCTCTAGCCTCGCAGCAGTGCCTAGGTCAGAGCTGCAAGGCGTTGGTCTCGATCTCGAAGCAGATCTCGGCATCGCTGAAAGGGCTTCTGATGGCTTATGTGCTGTGGTGCCTGGTGGGACAGCTGCAGCGGATCCTGATCCATCAAATCCCTGCACACGCCAGCAGATCTTGGTCAAGCATGGCTTCGACAACTACAGGCCCGGTGATGCCGACAATCAAGATCTGATGCTCTTGCGCCTTCGAAAGATGCTTCCAGACATGATGCAGGTGGTGACGACTTGCAGGCTTGGTGAGGGCTTCCTGAGAGCGGGCCAGGTCTCCAAGCCAAAGAAGCCTTTGTCTGCGTGGAATCAACTCCAAAAGGACTTGTCGGAGGCACAACGCAGCTTTGGATTGAAAGGCGTCCGGCAGGGCCGAGCCGCGGCATGGTACGGCTTCTTTGGTCTGGTCGCTGATGCGGCCCAGAAGGAAGCCAAACAGTTCGGCGGCCTCGCTGCCTCAGACGTGGTCTTCGTGGCTCCGGAGGAGTTTCGTCCATCAAATGCGTTGAAGGAAGATGGCCAGCGAGACTACCAAGTCCTCTGCGTGCGATTGCATCCTCTGGGTGCCAACCTGCTGGCATTGGTAGAGCGAGTGTACCGGGGCACCGTGAATCGCAAGGGGAGATCTGGCAACAAGCCACACGAGGCAGCATTGCCTTCGCAACAGTGCACCGCTCTGCACATGGCATTGTTCACTGCTGTCGACTCGGAGTCCGACGGCTTGTTCAAGACGTCCTGCCTTGCCCCTGCCATCACCATAGACCCGCACAACCACTCCGCCGAGGAACCCATCGTCATGCTTGAGCTCGACAGAGCCCACTTCCAGATCCGAGCTGTGCAAACGGCGCTCCTGCTCCAGCTCTCGCCTGCTGCGCTGGCAGGCTTGCATGAGCCCTTGTAAACTAAAACCCTTAACCCTAGACAGCCCAAAACCCTGACAACCTAAAGCTCGGAAGCTCGCAGGCATCGAAAGCATCAAAGGACCTTCGCTCGAGGTGGCCACGAAGGAATCTTCCCAGAAGGCAGAGGAGGTCATCTACACTGAGTTTTCTTTCGGCAACAACTCTGTTGGCTTCCAGAATCTTCGCCAGTACCTCCAGATCATGCGAAAGATGCACGACCGAGTCTCTGGCTCTGAACTCCTGAACGATCAGGGGCGAGTCAGGGCACTGAAAACTCGTGAAGCGGAGGGGATGCATGCCTGCATCTATTCGCGTTGCCCTTTCCCTTCTGTTTGTGTGAGCTCGGGATTCAGATTCGGGGCTCAGGGCTTCGGCAGTAGATCTACTAGGGTTTCGTAGCTGCAACTGTCCGTGAGTCAATAAGGCCTCTGTGGACTACACTCCTGGCGAAGGTCGAGCCGTACTTCCTGCGATTGTTCATGCCAGCGGACATCGCCGGAAAGAAAACTGTCACGAGTCGGGAGTTTTCGGTGGAGGTCGCAGGTCGTCTCAGGGCATGTGCACCCACACAAAGCGCAGGGTGCCAGTGGTTTGTGCAATTGCTGCGGCAATTGCACGATGCACAGGTCACGCTCCCCATGTGATGAGTTCGACGGTTAAGTGTCCTAGAAAGTCTACTTTTCCACCAGATGGGGAGACGATGACACCAGGTTTCACAGGACGGAGATTGCGACGGCTGGGGATCGACCGTGAGCAAGAAAAGGGGGAAGTCCGAAGGCAACAGTGGCAGTATCCGAATGTATCCGAGAGTTGTGTCATGTGGCGTGCTGCTGGCCAGTCATACATTCTTTGCATCATAGCCCTGCTTCCTGAAACCCCATACCTCCAGACTCCCCCCCCCACCGTACCAATACATTACGAACCCAGGGGTAATGTATTGGAGGCTCCCTCCCGGCATATAGCCGCTATTAGGAGGGATCCCTTATAGGTCTCCTTATAGATCCCCCAGGGCAACAACAGGGTTGAGGCCACCTCCCCTCGTGTTCCCACGTGGTTTTTGTTTGGCACTCACTGTGCACACAGATGCTCGGAGCTGTCTCTATAGATATGTAGCGCTTTCGCAAAAGGTCCATTTTGGCTGTGTGAGTGCTTCTCCCTGTCCTACCTTATAGACCCCAGTACCCTTATAGATCCCCTCAAGGATCCCTAAAACCCTAAACCCTAAAGAGTACCCTTGTAGATTTCCTTATAGACCCCTAAAAACCCTAGAACCTTTTAAAGGACACAGGGCCCTTAAAGGGCCCTGGAAGTCCCCGGCCTCAGGCGCTCGGCTTTCCGAGGCTCGGAGCCCAAAGTGACGCTCATCGCCCCAGCGGAGGAGGCTTTTGGGGTTTAGGGGTTTAGGGGTTTAGGGTTTAGGGATTTGTCTAGGGTTTGGGGGTTTAGGGTTTTTGGAACTTTTTCGTTTCTTTTTTTTGTGGTTTTCAGGGTCTTGAGGTCTAAGTTTTTGTTTTCAAGACGTCGTTTGGGGCGCTTCCAAAGGTCTTTGAGTTTGAAGGGCATGAAAGGTTTTCTGAAGGGTTGATGAAGGTGTGATATGCTTTTATCAGAACTTATAACTGCGCGCTATCAAGCTTTACAGGGTCTTATCGTGATTTATAAGTTAGAATGCAGTCTGAAAGATGTCCTTAAAGTCTTTGCACGAGAAGAGGTTGAAAGCGACTGAAAGGCTGCAGAGGTTCAGGAACAGAGGGTTCGTAATGTTTGTAAGGCTTAAGCAACAACAACAACACCTACTACTACTACTACTACTACTACTACTACTACTACTACTACTACTACTACGACTACTACTACTACTACTACTACTACTACTACTACTACTACTACTGCCAGTACTACTACTACTACTACTACTACTACTACTACTGCTACTACTACTACTACTACTACTACTACTACTACTGCTACTACTGCTACTACTGCTACTACTGCTACTACTCTTGCTGCTATTGCTTCTTCTGCCACTGTTACTCCCGTTTGTGTCATTGCTACTCCTACTGCTACTCCCACTCCCACGCCGACTCCTACTCCCGCTGCTACTGCTGCCACCTCTATCCTTACTACTTCACTGCCGCTGTGACTTCCAAAAGTTCAGCATCAAACAAGAATCAACCTGGTTACTCACCCACACAGTCTCATTGATTGTTTGTTCTCTTTGCCGGTCAGAGCGGCAGAACATCAACACCATCGACTGTAATAGCTGCAGCTGTGCTAACCGTGTAACCATGGTGACCAGAGCGAGGGCAGCATTCCCTTCAACTTGGCCGTGAACGCCACGACGCCCGGTCGCGCCGCGCTGCTCTTCGAGGCGTCGTCTCTGCGATGTCCTTGCAAGGTTGGAGGGTTAACCTGAGGAAAGGGGCTCAGACTTGAAAGGTTCGGCTCGGGGTAGGTTCAACTCGCCTGAATCATGTTGCTGTGGGCTGCAGTTATTTTGCTGTCCTCGTTCTTGCAATTCTGGGCGTTCTTGTTGCTGGTGGCGGTAGCGGCCGTGGTGGTGGCGGTGATGGTGGTGACGAATTGTGGGTACTACCGTGGCTTGCCGGTTTTCGCTTAGCAGTGTTTTCTTCTCCTACTGATGTTGCAATGCTTCCAGCCCAATCCGTAGCGGGGCCGGGGCAATTCAGCTTGTGGGTTGTGACAGTTCTGAGCAAGATGTGCCAGAAGCTGCTGCTGCCACCGCTGCTCCTGTGGTTGATGATGGTTTAAGTACCACTACGGCTGCGACTGCAACCTCGACTGCGGTCGCGATTACGACGACGACGACCACTATTACGGTACTACTGTGATACTTTGAAGAATTGTTATGAACTACGCCCCCATTCCTTCATCCCAAAACGATATGGTATGGTCTGAGGACTGTCCCAGAAGTTCGCTTCAGCCAAACATCGGTGCTGAAGAGGGGTCCTCAAATCACGGATTCTGGAGCAAAGACGTTGCCAAACTATAGGGGCCTTAATGATTACCCATACTGTTTTGGGGGTTCCTTATTATACAGTAAGTATAGGATAATGCGCCAAAAAATCCTACTCTAATTATAGAGGCACCTTTTTTATCGGAGTCCGTCTGGGGGTCCCAACCCGACGAGCCTGAAGCCTGAAGCATAAAGATCTTGCTAATCGCACACGGTAGACCGCCCTAAAGCCCTCAACACCCTAAAGCCCCAAAAGCCCAAAACCCTTCAAAATCCCTCCCCTAGAGATGCTGATAATCGGAGCCCTTCTAGGTCCCTTCGTAGGAACCCTAAAAACTCTCCTAGAAACCCTCGAAGCCCAGGCCACCCCCTTGTATTAGGCCTTAGAAAGAAGCCTCAAAGGAACCTTATTGGTCTCTGTAAAAAGGAACCTTGAGAGATCCCTCTAAAGGAACCCTTAGAGATCTCTTTAAAGGAACTCTTAGAGATCTCTTTAAACGAATCCTTAGAGATCCCTTTAAAAGAACACTAGGAAGCCCAGAGGCCAGCTCAAGATTGCACCCCAAAGCCGGCGAGCTGATTCTTCTGGTGCGCCGCTGGGCCAAGGACTCCGCCGTTTTTTTTTACGACTCTTAAACTCTAAACCCTAAGCCCTAAACCCTAAACCCTAAACCCTAAACCCTAAACCCTAAGCCCTAAACCCTAAGCCCTAAACCCTAAACCCTAAACCCTAAACCCTAAACCCTAAGCCCTAGTTTTGAAACCCTAAGTGATAAAGGGTTCCGGGCTTGAGGGTGTAGAGTATGGGGTATCGGTTTAGGGGTTTAGGGTTTAGGGTTTAGGGTTTAGGGCTTAGGGTTTAGGGTTTAGGGTTTAGGGTTTAGGGTTTAGGGTATCGGTTCAGGGGTTTACCCTATCGTAGGGGTTTGGGGCTTAGGGCTGAGAGGGTATTTTGCTGAATAAGGGCCTCTGTATTGTACTTGTAGTTGACACCAAAACCCCAAACCATGTTCTGGATGATGAAGGCCCATCAAGCAAGGGAATTTCAGAGGTGAGGGTTTCTAGTCAAGGGGGTCCGTTTGGGGGCTCCTTGCACTGAGGCGATTTTAGGCGGTTTAGCGTTTAGGGGTATTCATGATGACGGGGTCCTGCAGTTTCCGAAGTAGCACATAGGTTGCGGGGTTTCAGATATTGTTCGAGGTTTCTGTTTTTGGAAGGGAGCGCTGTTCGGGTCAAGTCGTTGCTGGTTGCTTGGGGTTTCAGAATTAATGATTTGGGGTTTATGGTTCACTGTAACGTTACCGCAGTGAGCAGGTTTGATTTTCTGCATATCCTAGTTATGATACATTTACGCCAAGATCTTCAAACCCAGTTTCCCGATATTCGAGGAGTTCGGCCTAGGCCTAGTTCCCATGAGTTTCAGGCCCCGACATTCAAACAAACCAGAGTTACATCAACACTGCAGCCTCGTCAAGAATAACCCTTTGAGTTCTAGCGCCTGTAATGTAAAAGCCAGCAAGTTGGAATATGATTATCCTAAACCCTTTAAGGTAAATTATAGAGGATCCTGCCATTAATCCATATTCCAACTTTCTGGAGTTCCCTTTAATGTAACCAAACCTGCTACTGCCAAGCTCCAACCCCAAGGCCCTGCGGACCTACGCTACAGATGCTTAAAGTTGTGGATTTCAGGTTTTTTCCTTCATGATCTAGGGTGTAGGGTTTAGAGTTTAGAGTTTGCCTAGTAGGCGAGTAGATAACCTTTAGCTTTTTTTGGGTAGTATAGTCCCTATATACTCCCCATATAACCAAAAAGGTTAACCTTTAGTTCCCCATGATACCCGACGAGTAGGTTTAGGATTCAGGTAAGGTGGCTGTGAAGTCTTCTGCTCTGGGGTCGGTTGTGTCAGTTTTGGCGTGCAGGGGTTGGGGATTGCCGAACCTAGCCTTCCGTCAGAAGTTTTTCAGTTAAAAACACCGAAAGGGCGGGCTTGATAGCCAAGAAAAGGTTTTTGTGACGTATACAAGCCCCAAACCCTAAACTCTGAACCCCAAACAACTGAACCCTAAAGCCTAAACCTTGAACCATAAACTCTAGACCCCAAACCCCTAAACCTTAAAGAACTCTAAACCCCAAACCCCGAAACCCAAACACTAAACTCTATACTATCACAGCGGACTCGTGTAATGTAGGAACCTGATTAACAAAGCCTGGCCCTATAGCCCCAAAGTAGTAGGATCCATATTCAGAACCCTAATAAAGGCCCAAGGTTTCTTAATCGGGTTCCTGACCCAAAACCCTAAACCCTAAAAACCCTATAAACCCTAATTTTGGGGTTATAGGCCCAAGGTTTCTTAATCAGGTTCCTACATTACCCCAACCCCAAGCTCTAAACCCAAACCCAAACTCTAAACCCCAAACCCCAAACCCCTATTTATGTATGCACATCTACATTTAGTGTTGTTGTTATGCTTGACACCTGAAAGCAGGATCGCGGCATCAGCCACGCTGCTAAAGGCCACCTGTCGCCTTATTGCTGGATGATCCTGGCCACCTACTACCTGCAAGTGGGCCTCGAACCTCGGCCGTGTTTCTTTTTTGGGGGCTTAGTAGGGCTTTGGGTTTGGGGTTGAGGGTTCAGGGTTTAGGGGTTTAGGGTTCAGGGTTTCGGGCTTTGGGTTTGGGGTTCAGGCTGCCTTTTTGGGGAAGCTTCCGGGGCCCTTGGAGCATGGACGATTACTTCTGTAGGTCTTGGGTTGGCGCTTTAGAAAAGCCCCCCCCGAAACCCTGAACCCTTTCTCCTTGACCCAAAAGCCGAAATCCAAACCCGAAAAACCCCTATCACTAACCCTGAAACAGCTGGATATGCACGCTGCCAAGAGCCAGTCAGTCAAGACCGAAAACCTCCAACTGCAATCCCCGAGTCCCAAAAAGGTCTGTGAAGCTCAATCCTCACCTGTAGGAGGGTTTAGGGTTTGGGGTTTACGGTTTCGTATGTACTGTAGGTTCAATAGATGATGTTAAGCCCGAACCATGAACCCGAAACCCCAATTAAGCAGCAAAACGTTATCTGGATGACTTTACTCCCTGTATCACATGACGGATGGTTGGCCCAGATTGATTCTATCATCCGACAGACTGTTGGAAAGCTTGATTCGTTTATCTCTTGCTGCGTTATGACGGCGTAATGCATACCTTTCCTCATTTGGTCGACTGGCTCTTGCAGCCCGTGAACAATAAACAAATGAACATGATAGATAACAATGTGTATACGCATGTACGCATTGTGTGTATACAGTTTTAGGTTTCTACATGGTGCAGATGATGTCGTTGAGCTTTGATAGGAAGCCCTCAAACTCCCAATAACCGAAACGCCTTACACCGACTCCTGGAAGCTTACCCAAAGAGATAATTTGTCTAAAACCTGATCACTCTGAGCCCGAGTTAGGGTCTAGGGAGTTTAGGGTTTAGGGATTCGGGTCCAGGGTTTAGGCTAAACCCTAAGCACTTCAGTTACCACAGCTTCCCAAGCATTCAGGACGAGGAGTGCGGAGAGCTGCTGCCACCCCTGAGCAGCTCTGCCAAAAAGGGTTTAGGATTTAGGGCCTTTAAGGTTTAGGGTTTTGGATTTAGGGCTCAGGGTTCCGGGAAGTTGAAGTTTGATTTCAGCGTTTGCGAGTTAGGGCTTAGGGGCTCAATGACTAGCCTAAGCTAAGGGGGAGCTGTCGGGTCGGGTTTGACTAAAGGGTTCAAGATTTAGGACAATGGCGTGGGGCTTCAAGCCTTAGATTGAAAGCCCCAGGTCTACAGTCTACGGTAGTGTTGACATCTTTCTACTTGCTTCCTCTTGCGTATCTCTTGCACAGAGATTTCAGCACTCCTTGATCCAGAACTTTCAATGTCCAAAGCGCCTTCCTAACCCGACTCCTTGAACCCCAAAACCCTTAAATTGGATAGTAACCGTAATAGGGTTTAGGGTTTAGGGTTTAGGTAACCCTTACATTATAGTAACCCTCATAGTAGCCCTCATAGTAGATCTTATAGTATCCCTTAGAGTAATTTTCATAGCAACCCTTATAGCAACCTTTATCAAGACCCTTGTAGGAACCTTGTTATTTCGACCCGAAGCTCAAAATTGCGAAAAAAGGCGGCCTCTGTGCCGGGAAGATGCCGGCCCCTCTCGAGAACCCCGAGAAGAGTCTTGGCACGAGATGCGGGCGCCAATCCGGCCCTACCTTAACCCTGAATAACCTACCTTTTTAGGGTTGCTTATTATGATTTCTTTATATAAGTCCTTAACAAGGTAGGTTATTCGGGGTTTAAGGTAAACCTTCAACCCTACACCCCTAAACCCATAGACCCTAAACCCTAAACCTTTGGGGAAGGTTTTGGGATTAGGTGATTGAGGCTCGGGGTTTTTGGTCTGGAATTTTGGGTTTCTGGAGCAGGGGGTTGTAGCGCATGAGCAGAGTTTCGTCCACTTTGAGAAGAAACCCAAAACCGGATCCAAAACCCAAAACTTCGAAAGCCTAAAGCCCAAAAGAACCTTCTTTAAAACCCGCAACCTAAAGGCCCGTGCTGCTGTGCTGTGGGGCTTACACAACCAGGCCATCAGTCTCTTGCCCATCGGGTTGAAACCTTAAACCCTAAACCCTAAAGATGTCCTAAGGTCACGGAGGTTCCCAGAGACTCCAAAACCCCTTAATTAAGGAGTATACCTTAAATTATAATAGGATCCCTAATATGATTTAAGGAATATTCCTTAATTAAGGGGTATTGGAGTCTCTGGGTTTGCCGGAGGGTTAGGGTTTAAGGGTGCTCATCAGAGTTTCGGGCATCGGGGCACCATTACCATCTGGATTTTAAGGCGGAGGAAGTAACCGTAAGTAACCCTAAACCCTGACCCATTTAGAGTCTAGGCCTAGTCTAAAGGCAGATCATCAGGAGGTCTGGTGTCGGGGTTTGGACCTCAACCCAAGCCCCTAATCAAGCCCTGAAAACACCACGCCTGTATCGCTGGAATGCCCAAACCCTAAACACCGGGGACAGGAAGAGGGGCACTCTACTGGGTTCTTGTTAAAGGGGTTTTATTTAAGTTACCATAATCAATATGGATCTACAGTAAATATTTTTCCCTTAAATCCAGAACCCAGTCTAAACAACCCTCTAAACCCCAAACCCCTCAATCCCCAAAACCCCTAGACCCCTAAACCCTAAGCTCCTCAAACCGGTTCAGTCTCTCGAAGGACAACGGTGACTGCAGCGCAACTCCTCAAAGGCTTGGCGCAGTACGGGTTTGGGGCCACTCTAACGTGTTGGACCTAACCTTATTAGGTTTGGGTTTTAGGAGGGTTCAGGCTTCAGGAGTTTAGGGTTTAGGAGCTTAGGGGCTTAGGGTTTAGGAGCTTAGGGGTTTAGGAGTCTAGGGCTGCAAGGTACTTTTGAATGAAGGGTTACTTGGAGGATCATGGGACTTAGTAAGTATGTTTATAAGTACCTTAATTGGGGTTATATGTAATTATAAGTATAGTTACCTTAGTTATAACCCTACTAAGTCCCATGATCCTCTAAGTATGGTTCCTGGATTTGGGGTTGAGGCGTTCAGACGCAGGTTCTTGGTGTCGGATATCGGTTTCATGCCTTCAGGGCCGAGCAGGCTCCAGGGTTCATGGGCTTAGGGTTTAGAGGTTTAGGATGGTTTAGGGTTTAGGATTTAGGGTAAAGGGCTCATGGGCTCTGGGCTTAGGGGTTTAGGGTGCAGGGTTTAGGATTGGTTGTTTAGGGTTCATGGGTTTCGGGCTTATTGAGGAGTTCGGGGTTTGATTGGGCGAAGGGTTAACGGCTTGGAGCCGCAAGACATCCGGCGACCTTGCATTTGTGGGGTTCAGATGCTGGCGGGCTGGGGCTTGAGGTCTGAGTGGGGTTGTTTTGGGTTTAGGGTTTAGGGTCCCGAACCATCCGCCTTAAGCCACACACCCTAAACTCGCTTGGAATTGTTTGCCACGCACTACAGCCCCACCTGACATTTCGGACAAGTTAAGCGGTGGGTTCTCAACATTTGGAGTTGATGCGATCTACAATTCGGAGCGCAGTATCAAGCGTGTTTTGCGCAGTGTAGGGTTGAGATGGCGATCCCGTGTCTTCTGAAAACGCACACCATCCTGAAACTATCTCTCCATTTTGGGTTGCAGGGGTGGCTTCGAGTTGAGGTTTTTGGTTTATTACGGTTCAGGGTTTCACTAGTGGGATCGGCCTTCGAATACGCTGGACTGCAGTGTTCCGTCAGCAATCCTAAGAGCCGAAGCAACAAAGCTGTGGCGCACGGTTTAGAGCTTAGGGTTTAGGGAGCATGAAGATTTTAAAGGGGAAAAGGAGGCACCCTTAATGGGGACCCCTACCCTACAATGGGCTGTATAACGGGTATATAATAGCTATATTAAGGGTATTATACCTAGGGGTCCTTATTAAGGGTCCCTCCTTTTACCCTAGGATTGTAATAAAATGAGCAGGGTTAGGTGGCCACTGTCCTCTCGAACTCATCCGGGAGTTCCGAGGCACAGACAAAGACTCACGGTTCAAGGCCTTTTAGGGTTTGGGTTCTGGGGTTTTGGGGTTTAGGGCTTCACATAGTTTTGGGGTTTAGAGTTTTACTTGGGGTTTAGTGCAGCAAGCCACCAAGATCTTGTTCAGTTTCAGCTTTCATGATCCCTAAACCCTAAACCTTAGAAGCTGCCCCCACCCTGTAATAGTGGTATAATACGAATATAATAGGGCCCTGCTATAATGCTTATAGTCACTATTACAGGGTGGGGGCCGCTTCTAACCTAAACCCTAAATTGTCGCAGGAATTTTGGGAGGCCAGGCTAATCTTCTGACAGCGAAACCCTGTTGAACTCAAGTCCCTGAGCCGTACCGTTTCTACAGGCTTCCTGTTTGGGTGTTTCTTACAGCCCGGCGCTGCTTATTTCTAGCGGTCTATGCGACGGCCTCTGTTGGAGGGGGACAATGTGCATTCCCAAAATCCCCAAACTTTACACCAAACTCCCACCCTAAACCCTAAACCCTAAACTCCCACGGGCTTGCAGGCTTCATGAACTTCTACGCCGGCTTTGCCTGGGGTAAGGAGGTGATCTCTGTCTGCAAAGGAAAACGCCACCTGTCGGCACGAACCTTACCGTTGGTTAGTAGGGAATGGAGGAATGGGGTACAATATAACTACTATTTCTACCATTCTTCCATTCCCTACTAACCAACGGTAAGGAACATCTGGGCCGTCAGTGAGTTCTGGCTTTAGACTGCAATATAGGGGCTTCAAATAATTACCAATACTTTTTAGGGGGGGCCCTATAATATATATATATATATATATATATATATATATATATATATATAGTGTGTGTGTGTAATATACCCCAAAACCCTATTCTAATCATCAAGGCCCCTACAGTGCAGCTTTTCGGCTTGGAGGCTCAGGGTTCAGGGTACAGGGTCTGGAATTGGGCCCTCAGGCTCTTGGCTGTCCTGTCTTCGGTCGTGGACTCTTGTCCGGTTGTGATGACGAGCTTCTGTTTTCATGATCGATTTCGTCCGAGATGAATTTGCCCCAAACCCTTAAGCCCCAAACCCTAAGCCCCCAAGCCCCTAAACCCCAAAACCCCTCTACCCCTAACCTCCGAACCCTAAGTCCTACCAGGGGCTAAGTTTTGGCATGTGCGGTTTCACGTTTGCATGACAGCGACGTTTCGGGGTTGCGGAGTTATTTTTTTTCGGATCGGAGTGTCAGCTCGGGTGTAGGGTTGAATCCAGTTGGTGTAGGGCCTTGGAAACTTTGGCTTTTACTACATCATGAGACTGGATGAGGGATAGGGCCTGGATATATCAACAGTCTTGAAGCATTCCCCTGGAGTGCTGACACATTGCGCGCTAATATGCCCCAACACGCTGTTGTGAGACATAATGCCCTAAATGCTGAACCGTTAAATGGCCCTAAATTCGATCCCGAGGCACCTGGCCATCTGCCTCCCGCCCTGCCCACGTGCTTCTGCACGAGGAGCGGCTTCCAAAGTACGTGGTTCAGGGTTTTAGGGTTTAGGGTTCAGACTTTGAGTTCGGAGGAAGATGGAGGCATGCTTACACGATTCGGAAGGGCTCGGGGCATATGCTGCTACAGTTACGTACGGGCATGAAAGGCTTGCGGAGTGATACTCTTCCTGCTGGGGCTGACTGGGATGAACCAACCACCCAGAAACTTGAAAAGCGGTGCAGCACCTAAAAAGGGATAGTTCCAGAGTTTGGAGTGACGGTTTGAGGGCTCGTCGTTAACTTCCAGCAGTTTTCGCGGGCCACTGAAGCAAAGTTTTGGGTTCCATCTTGTCTTTTACGACCTGAAGCCCTCAGCGTTTAACCGCCCAAACTCGTAGGCCACACCTGCAGAGACTAAAAACCGGATACAGAGTTTCTCCACCGTACACCATGCCTGTGACCCCGAACCCCAAGAAATCGCTGAGCCGTCCTAAGGTCGCAACCCGACGCCTTACGTAAGTTTGGGCGCATCTCAGATTCCGGGTCCGGGGCCTTCTACATCTCAGCACATCCAATATCCAAATCCTCCTCCCTGCTCCGCCTCAAACCCTGCGGTTCTGAGACCATCTGAGACCTTCAGCCCTAACACCTGCCCAGAGAGCCCAAAACCCCTTAATTAAGGAATATACCGTAAACTATAAGGGGGTTCATATTATGACTTAAGCTATATTCCTGAATTAAGGGGCATTGAGCTCTCTGGGTGTCCTCTTTGCAAGGATGGCAAGACCAAGCAGCCCGGACCGCCGGGTTCAGGGGCTACGGGTTCAGGGGTTCAGGGACCCTGAGCTTATCCCTTGAAAGTCTTGGGCTAGGGCTTAGCGTTCAGGGACCAGGGTTTCAGGGCTTCAGGAACCAGGATAGCCAATAAACGCGGTTTTTTCATGCAGTCTCAACTGACTCAACTGCTACTTCTATGATTCCATGATCATTGGGCTGGTCCTTCTCTTACTGCCGGCGGTGTGGTCTAGACTGCTTGCGGTATAGGTTCTTAATAATTACCTCTACTATTTTGGGGGTTCCTCATTATAGTTATAGTAGAATGGTCCCCAAACCCTATTATTCTAATTTATTATGGCTTGCGGTGTAGGGCCTTACTACTTTCACTCACGGATTTGAGAGTCCATGTATGCTACTGCAACGAGTGGGAGCCCTACAGTACGGAACCATCGTTCTAGCTATTCAGGGCTAGTATGGTTATTGTCAAGTTCTTGCTATTGCCACTGGACCAGCGCTGCTATTGTTTTTCCTGCCAAAGCGGGATCAGAGCCGACGCGGGGAGCAGACGAACAACATCAGCGCCTGCCAACAAGGAGAGTAAGACGAAGTAAGACTTGTGATAAGAACCAGACAGGCGGTATTGTCAGTACTGTTTGTAAGAACAACAACAGCAAGGACTGTAGTTACTTCCATGTTCGATGCGGAGAGTAGCAGGTCAAAGTCGAAACTCCGCGCCCTTAAGCTCTAAACTCCGCAACAGTCCAGACCCTGATTCCGAAGCAGGACCCAACATCGAGGATCCCTTCGAGACGACGTCGAACTTGGGCACCTGCATGTGGGGCTTCCCAAACAGCTAGGACGAAAACACATGGAGTGATAACACGGCCAGCATCCGCAATGGCTTCATGCACGATCCCTGGTTCTAGTCCTGCTGGCTAGTTCCGTTTGAGCCTGAGACCCTTAGCCCAGAAGTCCCTAAGCCTTTTGGTCCTGTTAGCCGATGTTGAGTGACCAGAAGCCTAGCTGCAGTCGCTGAAATCTCCAGGGTTTAGGGTTTAGGGCTATACTCCCAAGGCACAGGACCGCAGGTGGCTGCGGGCGCTGTGGGGCTTTCGGTTTTGAGTTCGTCTTCGTCTACTTTGAGGGTGTCGGGGCCTAGGTCGTAGAGTGTTCAGGACGATGTGGTGCATAGCTGGATGTTACACAACCCCTTCTTTAGGAGCACCAGTGGTATCAAGATTGCCTATGACAAAAGCAGTCCTGTTGATCTTTGGTGATCTTAGTCTTCGTGTTGTCTTTGTCCATAGTGGCACTACCGGTAATCTTAGTCAAGGAGACTCCTGAGTATCGTCGTCATTGTAGCGATCGCCGTCCCAGTCCTTAGCCCCAGCCCCAGTTACTGTCCCTGTCGAGGAGGTGTGCCTTAGACTTCGGGTCGCAGCAGTCGCAGTAGCAGCAGCAGCAGTAGCAGCAGCAGTAGCAGTAGCAGTAGCAGCAGCAGTAGCAGCAGCAGGAGCAGTAGTGGAGCGGTAGCGGTAGTGGTAGTGGCAGTGGTGGTCGTAGTGGTACTGGCAGTGGTAGTGGTAGGAAGAGTGGTAGATTGGTACAGGTACACTGAGAGCAGCAGGGGGACCTCTTTCACCTCTCAAACCCAGCCTGCCTTGACCCCTGAAGGCACTGGCTCAGCATGAGCCGCCTCTCTGAGGACCGCCACGTCGGGCGTCGGGTGTAGCATGGGGGCCCGGTGTTTTAGAATAGGGTTCGGGGATATCTTTTCGTATAGTTTTAAGAAGGGATCCTGGGTTTAGGGATTGGGGTAGTTTGGCTGGGTTTAGGGTATGTTGGGTGTTTAGGCTGTAGAGCCACAAACCCAGAATCTGTTTGCAAGTAATTCGCAAGCATCATGAAAGCGCAAATAGGGATGGAGGTTCATGGCTTGGGCTTTTGTTCCTGAGATGCGCCTTCAGCCCGAATAAACTTCACTGTCTAGGGTTTCTGATTAAGGCTTCTCCACATAGTTCCTACACCCTGAACCCTAAGCACAAGCTTTCGGTCCCAGACCTTGGAATTCTCCGAAGGTCCGGGCTTGGAACCCTAAACAACCCGAAACCCCTAAACCCCTAAACCCTAAACCCCTAAAGCCCTAAACCCTAAACCCCTAAGCCCGGTCCGGGCGTTGAACCCAAAACCCCAAACCCCCTTTCACAGCACAGCCCGTCGCTTCCTGGCCCAAGCCCCCAAACGGCCGGCCGGGACCTGAACCTACCAAAACAGACTCTTGTTCTTTAGGGGCTTGGGGTTTAGGGTTTAGGGTTTTAGGGGTCTGGGGGTTTAGGGTTTAGGGGTTTAGGGTTTGGGGGTTTAGGGTTCAGGAAATAGGGGGTTGGGTCTCTGAGGTTCTAGGGTCCTCTGTAAATCGCATGTTAACTAGGTAGGCCTTTGGGACATTTTATATTTTCTCTTATTGAGCTAAATAGGACTCTATTTACGAATATTTTTTGAGAGGCTTTAAAGGGCCAACCTAGTTAAGGTTCGTAACAAGAACCCGCAAAACTTACCTTTGCTTAGTAGGGAATGGAGGAATGGGGTACAAGTATAACTACTATTACTGCCATTCTTCCATTCCCTACTAACCAAAGGTAAGGAAAAAAGTAGGTAATGGTAGTTTAAGGTAAGCCCTGAGCCCGACGCCAGGCCTGTAAATAGCCACCCTAGAAGCTAGGCCCAAGACCTCAACGGGGATCACTCGCATCATGTAGAGAAGTATAGCAGTATTACAACCTTGGCACCAGATTTTGAGTCGGCACCTATAAAGCTCATAACCCCTACTAACCTCCACTCATCAAGCCCTAGCTGCCTTCAAACTATGTCCTCAAATCCGGCAGAGCCTTATTCAACCTGTACAGCCCTGTTGGGGCCCTTAGGGTTTGGGGCCCTTGGGGGGCTTGAGGAGTTGTTGGCTTTATTCAGGTTTCAGGGTTTGGATGGGGTCTAGTGGGCGGGCTTCGAGTTTCTAGGGTTTGGGGTGCAGGAATTCCAAGGAAGCCTCAACCCTTATGCCAAAACCTCTGCTGAGCCCTTCTCAAAAACTGACAACTTGGGCTAGTACACAGGTACACCTAGTTGGGGAAACCCTCCTTAGTTCCTGAGCCCTCACTGCAAATCTAATCAAAGCCCGAAATTCAAGACTCCCCAAGCGCCGACACCCCTGAAAAGTCCCACATCCCGAGGCACTGCAAAGCCTTGTAAAACTTCTAAACCCAAACCCTAAGCCCTAAACCCTAAACCCCTAAACCCTTATGAAGCCTGAACCCTAAACTGTTATAAACCCAGCAGGAGCTGAACCGCTCCAAGAAGCTCTGCAGTGGAAGCGTCTCGCTGGCCGTACCCCGGTCCGCGGAATTTCGGGTCGTCAGGGGTACTATAGGAATAATTACCAGCACCGTCTTGATTTCGGGGGGTCCTTATTTTAAGTGTAGTATAATGGGCCCCAAAACCCTTTTCTAATTGCTAAGGCCCCTATGTTAGCTTTGTGTTTTTGTTGGAAAGGGCTGGGTGGGTGTTTACAGATTCAGGGTGTGATATATGGTGCATGTACATTCTATATGCACGATCATGTTTTACACGTATGTATATACATGTGTGTATATGTATATGTATATATGTATATATGTATATATGTATATATGTATATATGTATATATGTTTATATGTTTATATGTTTATATGTATATATGTATATGCATGTACGTATGTATGCATGCACGCATGCTTGCATGTGTGTACACGGCATTTCGGTGTCATTCAAGCATGTATTGGTAGCTTTACATTGATTTGACGTAGGCGTTTGATGCCTCGATGCCTCTGACATGGATTTAGAGGTTTACGATTCGGAGTCTCATCAATTTTCGAAGGAAAGCCCTTCAGAGGATCTACTTGGTTCGCCCAAATTTCGACAGGCAATGGATCATGCTTAGCACCTGTAGGACCTCCTCCGTGAAGCTATGCCAGACTAGATTCTTACCGATTTGCCACGAAAAACAGCAACAACACCAGGGGAACCCATACGAACTTTGGGAGCTTTTTCGTACTTGTCCCTGGCTGAACACCCTTAATTTTTCTGTAATTTTGAGCCCCGTTGCAGTTGCCCGTTTTGAAAAACTCTTATGGTAGTCACGGTGAGCTTCACAAGTCTTTACACCAGATGTTCTGTGGACATTGAGACTTTGATGGGCTTACCCCTAAGCCCTCAAACCTAAACTGCCGAATCCTAATGTACATACTGAAGCCATGCGTCTGTCTTGCACCGGGAACGCTTCCTCCATGGCTAGCCCAAAAGCTACAAGAAGGCACACTCTCTTTCTCCCCCCTGGAGGGAACAACGCCATTGCCTTACCCCCTCCGGGAAGGAGGCCGCCCTAAGCCTCTCCGCAGTCCCCAAAGCAGCCACATCTGGTCCGATCCCTTCTTCAGCCGCTACGCACCCCAGGCCCTGAAGCCTGAACCCGAAACTACCCAGACCCTAAACTGCCTTGCACCCTCAACCCCAAGCGGTTTAGGGTTTAGGGTTTAGGGTTTAGGGTTTAGGGCAAGCCCTACAATATCCTCAAGCCCGAAGTGCTCTTGCCTTCCGAGGAGTTGCTTGAGCCCTGGACGCCACCCGAACAGCAGGAGGAGTGAGACGATCCAGGAGCCACAGCGGTGGTCTGCTGAGGGCTTTTCTTGGGGGATAATGTAGGGGCCTTAACAATTAGAATAGGGTTTTGGGCTCCTTTAGAGTATAATCATAATCATAATAAGGAACCCTATGAACAATATAGGAAGTGATTCAGGGTTCTATATCACGGCTCTGGGCTTTACGATTTGGTCAGTGCAAGACTTTCGGGGTTTAGTCTGAGGTGTTCGGAATTACAGCTTTGTTCTGCTGCTTAGGCGGTGGAGGGAATTGAGATAGGTTTGGGCTGTAGGAGCCGCGCTAATTAAGTTTGTCTTCGGCCACGTGTTCTTGTTTCCTTTCTCAATCATATCTGTACGATTTGTGCACATTGCAGCCCTTACTCTTTTCATGCTGCGTTCCGTCATTTTTCTGTGCGCAGGGCTTTAGTTAAGGTCCTCGGACCTCGGGTTTAGTCTTAGGTCATTCAGGGTTTCATGTTTAGCTCAAGTTTCTTGTTGATGTTGTCAGCTTTGGTTTTTTCTTGCATGCTCACCTTTTGGGGCTCCGTTTTTTTCTAGGCGGTTTAGAGTTTATGTTTGGCATTTCTATGGCAGTGTCTCTCAGGCCTAGTTAGGAGGGCTCTCGGCAGACCGCTTCTCTGCCTGCTGAGATTTGCTACGACCGAGCCGGTCACCGAATTCATATCCTATGGCCTGTACAGCGCAGGCCCTCAGCAGCGCAGAAGATTGCAGGCAATGAGACCAAAAAGACCTTGAACCTAAACCCTAAACCCTGAACCCTAAACCCTAAACCCCTAAACCCTAAACCCCTAAACCCTAAACCCTAAACCCTAAACCCAAAAGCCGCCCTAGAACCTAAACCCGACCAGACCGCCCCTCCCAGCGTGACCCCGTAGCCAAAGTCCTGGCAACCGGTATAATAGAATAGAGTTCAAGGTTGTAATGTAACACTGTTATGGCATACTGTGCTTGCATATGTTATAATCTAAGACGACAGACAATAAGCGCATACACGATAAGATAACCTATCACACTAGAAAAGTCATCTAATCTAAACTAGTCTTATATACGATAATTTAGCAGCAATACAGCATATTGTAGCAAAGCAAGGTATAAATAATCAGAAACATTACATACGAAAATGGTTATGTGTATTCACATACATATATATATAAGAGATATATATATATGTATGCATATCCATCTATAGGTTTACAGCATAATTTAGTAATTATGTTTGACATGACACAGTATGATACGATGTAGTGCAATACAATATAACATGACGTCATATTTTATGGTGTGTATTGTTGTTAATAATGTTTTGTTGTATACTCTTGTATGTTATGTTACACTACGTTACACAATGCTTTGCGTTTCATCATTCCGTATCATGTTAAAAGTACGGTATTATATTGTGTTGTACTGCATTGCATCGTATGATATTGTATTGAACAAGACTACGTGATACTATAGGGCTCAAGCTTGACGTACAGTGCGGAGCTTCGGCGCTTCATCGAGTTTCGGGATCTCTATGTGCATATATACAGGTTTGTTCATCATACATCATCTTTCATCATCTCATATAAAAGTGCATACCAGAATATAATCTGTTCTTGTAAACATTGGTATAACCTCATGTAACCCAATATAACCTGATATAATGTATCGCAACCTCATATAACGAATGAAGAATAATGCAGCAAGAGTGATGGACAATGAAATATAGTATGAGTATGATAGAATAGACAAGAATTACAATAAACTATAAAAGGGACATAAAAAAAGAATCTAAAAATGAAATATAGTCAAAACATGACATAACGAAGCATTGTATAATGTATTAACCAAAACATGCCGTAACATAACGATTCCAATGCGAATCAGCCAAAGTCCTGAACCCGGAAAACCAGATGTCTAGGGTCAGGACCTAGGACCAGATCGCAAAACCCGACACAAAGTAGGTACCAAATTGCTGCTTGGAGTTTGACGGCCGTCCATCTTAGGATCTTCGTCAACCCAGGCCTGTAGCTTGAACCGTACACTCTATTCACCCTGAGTATTAGGTCTTATTGTTTGCACAAGACCTTAAAATGCAGTCTCTAAAACCCAAACTTCAAACCCTAAACCCCAAACCCTAGATATATACATATATATATATATATACATATATATATATATATATTCAAGAGTGGCTTCCAGGACTTTCGAGACAGGTCTGCCAACTGCCAAGCATTGTCTTTGGCTCCAGCCTTCGTCTCTGAGGGTTTCTTGAAGGGCTCTTTGTAAGGATCACTTGAAGAGCTCCGTGAAAAGTTCCTTGATGTAAGGGTTCCTTGAAGGGCTTCTCTTTGAGGGCTCCTTTAACCTTGCAGTGTTCACGACCCCAACCCTACTTGGAGGTTCATGGGTAGTTATAAGTGGGGTTGTAAGTAAGGTAACTTTCATTTATAACCATTGTTAGGGCACATATAACTCCACTTACAACTACCCATGAACCTCCAAGTACCTAGATGCTCAAGCCCCAAGCAGCTCAGCCCCACCTCGGCTCTGTGTGGATCCAACAAATGCTGAAGATACCCTAAACCCTACCCCAAGCCCTAAACCCTAAACTGTGTAAAGCTCGATTTGAGCAGTGCCTGAGCACTCTGCCTGCTGAAGGAGTCAAAGGTGCATTACACTTTAAAAAAACCCTCAACCCCACACCCTAACCATGAACCCAAAGCCTCAGATCGCAAACTCCGACGGAGCCCTAACCATCCTCGTCTGATTTCTCGCGCTTTGGCGCCGGCGGAGCCGGCTCGCTGCTCTCAAGGCGAACTTTTAAGCTTCAGTGTTTTAGGGTTTAGGGCTTTAGGGTTTTAGGGCTTTGGGTTTTTTAGGGTTTTACGGTTTTTAGGCTTTGAGGTTTTCGGTTTTAGGGTTTAGGGTTTATGTAAAGAAGGCCAGGTTAAGCGCATATATATATATATATGTGGCTATACCAGTATATGTTTACATGTATATGCACTTGTATACATGTATATCTTTTTATACACATGTTTATGTGTGTGTTATTTATTTACACATGTAAACGTATATATATATATATATATATATATAGATATAGTCTATGGTAGGATCCGGGAGGACGGCCCATTAGTTCCTCGATCAGATGCTTTCCGTTTTTGTCCCCTCAGAAGTTATAGATGCTCAGCGTGGTCATCTGTGTTTTGTTTACAGGAGCCTTGCACATTTCTTTTCCCGTCATCTCCTTTTGCAGTTAGGGCTCGGCGTTGCAGGGGTCACGATGCCAACAGGTTGAGCCTGTGGTTGTTAGGGTTGTTTGCTAAAGCCCCAAACGCCCAAGCCCAAAACCACAAACCCCAGATCCCGCCTAAACCCGGAGTTCCAACTCACGTAAGCCTGTGCAAGGGTGACACAGGGTCGGAAACATCAATACTCGTCTCGTCCGTCTATAAACTACAGTGCAGTTTAGCTCAAATCTTTATTCTGTTGATTCAGGCCGTGTAGCACAACCTTGAACAACCCGGTTACACTCACACAAAGCCATTGTGCACACCATACACATGTATACATATATATATATATGTATGTATGAATACATACATATACTAATATGTACGTATGTACGTATGCACCTACGTACGTATGAACATACGTATGTATATATGTATATGTATGTTGGCATGCGCGTGTGCACGTACGTATTTTCGTATGTACATATGTATGTAATTGTTTTTATGTTATATGTAACGATATATATATATATATACATACATACACATATATATATATATATATATATATATATATATGTACACAGATATGCGCACATGAGCCCGGAGCCATAAGCCCGAGCCTCCACAGGTTGAGATCCCAGCAGCGCTGAGCCCACAGATGCCGCGAAGTCAGCTCGAGCAGAACTTGTCGAAGCTTGGACTTGCAGTTCAGGGCTTCCGGGTTCAGAGTTTAGGGTTTACGGTTTAGGGATTTCAATCTAATAGTGGTGTTTCATTTTCCATATTCGTATCATTATCATCTATAATTGTGGTTCAGGGGTCACGAGTGTTGTTCGTTTTAGGGCTTAGGGTTTTGGGTTAGAGTTTGAGGGGTTTCGGAGTTTAGCTCGAAATCCTCATCCACTAAGTGCTACGAATTTACGTACAGGGTCCGCATCCAATTCTGCTGTAATGCGTGCCCGACCCTTTTCCGGTCGCCACTTTCGGCTTTGAGTGTTTCGGTGACAAGGTTTCAGAGGGTTCAGGGTTTGGGCTTTAGAGTTTAGGGTTTAGGGTTAGGTTCCGGGACTTCCCATTCGTTTCCAACGGCACCAGAAGCAACACTACAGGGCTTAAGAAGCTGCTCAGTTGAGGGCGCACGGCTTGGAGGCAGGGTTCTTAAAGTTTTAGTGCGGTTCAGGGTTCAGGGTTTCGGGGTTTTCAGGGTTCTAGGGCAACCCCAAACCCACCAAACCCTCAAACCCCAAACCCCAAGCCGTGCGACCTCAAAAGTTCTGAACTTGAAGATGGGAGCCCCTGCAAACGGCAGTTTGTTTTCTTCGTAATTGAAGTGTAGCTCCCGAAGAGCCCCAGAGAATTTGCAGTGATACTGCTGATGGACAAAATCCTGCATGACCCTAAGGACTCTAAACTATGGGAACTATGGTATATTCCTTCTAAAGGGTCATGCAGGATTTTGTCCATCAGCAGTAGTTGAACAAGTGTCCCCTTGCCTTGACTCAAAGGGGAAAAGGAGGGACCCTTAAAGGGGACCCCTACCCTATAATGGGGCTATATAATGGGCTATACCATAGCGATATTAAGGCTATATACCTAGGGGTCCTTATTAAGGGTATACAATAGCGATATGAAGGGTATATAATAGCGATATTAAGGGTATATACCTAGGGGTCCTTATTTAGGGTATATAATGGCGATATTAAGGGTATATACCTAGGGGTCCTTATTAAGGGTCCCTCTTTTTGCCTTTGATTGACCCAGGTGTTTAGACTCCTTTTCTTACTTGCCGAAATATCCATTAGAAGGGGCCCCCACCCTGTAATAGAGGTATAATAGGAATATAATAGGGCCCTAATAGTGGTATAACCGGAATATAATAGGGCCCTAATATATCCTTAAAGTCACTATTGCAGGGTGGGGGCAGCTTCTAAAACATCCATTTCACTCCGCAGCCCCCTGAAGGGAACCTGCTTCAGGCTTTCTGTGGGAGTTTCCAAAAAGTTGGGACTCTAATATAGTACCCTAAATAGTAGGATCCTTGTTATAAGGCACCCCAAGTATGGTACCCCAATTTTCGGAAACTCCCCTATAATGAGGGTCGGGTCAGCATTCACTAAGCCGACTTCCCGAAGGATCCGCAGCTTCCAGGAATTGGAATCCAAATTTCATCCACGAGCGCTAAAGCAACCCTGAACCCCTTAGCCTCCAGCAATTTGCCTTTCTGCTACCCAACTTTTCGAAGCCCCGAAACCCCAATGTCACAAATCCTAAACTCTCAATCCCGAACCCTGCGTCCTTTAAGATATCCCCGACCCCGCCGAGGGAACTACAAGCTCTTCAGCATGAGCTCAGCTGGAGTGATCGTCCGGTCTCCCCGGTGTCTTGACGAGGTTTCAGTAGGGTCTGTGGCTCGGCGGTTCCGGGTAGAGGGCTTCAGGGATGAGGGTGCAGAATAATCAGGGTTTGAGTTGGTTTATGGTTCTATAGAGGCACTCAATTTATAACTCTAAACCCTAAACCCCAAGCTCTAAACCCTAAACCCTAAACTCTAAACCCTAAACCTTAAACTTTAAACCCTAAACCCTAAACTCTAAAAACCCTAAACTTTAAACCCTAAACCTTAACCTCTAAACCCTAAACCCTAAACCCTAAACTGGACTGGGGCACTGGAGAAAAGGAGCTCAAACAAAAAAAAACTGGACTGCCAGGATGCTATATAAGGCCGCTTTGCTGCTCCCCAGTCCGGCCGTGTCTCTTCAGGGCCTCCCCCCAGTCTGCGATGCCTCCAGCTAGGAGGGTTTAGGGTCCAGGGTCCAGGGTTTCGGGGTTGGGGTTTGGGGTTTAGGGTTTACGGTTCAGGGTTTAGGGTTTAGGGTCCGGTTTAGGGTTCAGTGATTCAGGGTCCAGGGTTTAGGGTTTAGGGTCCAGGTTTTGGGGTAGGAAGCTTCCCTACAACATCCAGCCCGAAGCACTAAACCATGCTTGCACAACTTCAACACAGCCCTGATCATGAACTTATTGCATTTTTCAATCGCAATGTTTTCGCAATTTTATCGCACATTTCATCATGTCAAGGTCCTAGCTCACAACCAAGGCACGCCACCCTTGAAGCTACCGATTATGAAATGCCCTTCAGGTGGAATCCCTGAGTCGAAATTCTTCCAAGTGGCTGAAGCACAGGCCACAATTGCACTCGTTTGGTGAGTCTTATAGTTTGGACCGTTTCGGCGTTAGGCTTCAAAGGGTTTCGGGAGATGCATTCAATAACACCGTAGTAGCTCTAAGCCGCAAACTCTGCCGAAAAGGCCTAAAGCTTCGACGTTGATCCTTGAGGCCTATCGGAATGCGCGTCCAGGCCCTAAGAACCCACAAGCCCAAAGCCCCAAAAACTTAAAGCCCAATAAGAGAGCACTAAGGCACAGCAGACGTCTGCTGTGGCGGTTTGGGTCTTCGAGCTGCGGTTTTGTGAGGATTTAGGGTTCAACTCTGACGGTTATGCATATGGGAGTTTCCGAAAATAGGGGACCCTAATATGGTACCCTACATAGTAGGATCCTTATTTTAAGGACCCCAAATAAGGTACCCCGAATTTTCGGAAACTCCCATATAATGGGGTTCCACTTGCTTATTCCTTAATTTGTCAGCCCTAGACTAGACCCAAAGCCAGGATCGGCCACGAGACCCGTTGCTTTAAGACATGTTGACCTAGCACACACCCTAAAGCCAAAGCTCTACTTGCAAACCCTAAACCCTAAATCTACTGTCTCTTTATTTTGTTCATACGAAACTCAAGAGAATAGTAAACATATTCTTTGTATTATAGTTCTCAGGGGAGTATAGAGACCCTAATCTTTAAACCAAACCCTTCAACATCCAACATGTAGGTTATTGACCCTACCACGTAAAGCCTCGAAGCCCCAAAATCTACGAACCCCTAAACCTGACAACCCCTCAGCCCATAAGCCCTAAACCTTTAAACCCCGAAGCCACTAAACCACTCAATCCCCAAACCCTAAACCCCTCCCCCTAGACCCTAAACCCTTTATAAAACTTCACAAAATCACATAGAACCTGATAAACAAACATCATGAAACCCTGCAAAACCCTCATAAAAAAGTTTCCTGGGAGCCAGGCACCGTCCCCTTCCGGCTGGTGCCCCAGCGCCCGGTGCTCTAGGGGCCCTATTGGGCTCCTCGGCTTCGTTTCTCTGGAGGTTTAGGGTTTAGGGTGGTTTAGGGTTTAGGGTTTAGGGTGGTTTAGGGGTTAGGGTTTAGGGTGGTTTAGGGATTTAGGGTTTAGGGTGATTTAGGGGTTTAGGGGTTTAGGGTTTAGGGTGGTTTAGGGGTTTAGGCTTTAGGGTTTAGGGTGGTTCAGGGGTTCAGGGTTTAGGGTTTCGGGTTTCCTATAAGGATTACCATAAGGTATCTATAGGCCAACATGCTAAAAGGGGTGCTACGGGGTTTAGGGTTTAGGGTGGGTTGAGGGTTCCTTTAAGGGTCCCGATTGAGGATAACCAGGAGAACCATAAGGGATCTACAGGCAGGGTGCTACAAGGTTTGATGGGTTTTAGGGTTTACGCTGTTCTGGAGTTCCTTTTCAAGGGGCCCAGTGAGGATGGCTATAAGGGCTCCATCATAGGGTGCTATGAGGTTTTAAAGGATTTCGGGTTTAGGGGTTTAGGGTTCGTGTGAGGGATCCTATATTGCGGTAGGACGAAAGTCTGACCTACTCCTTTCGTCGAACACAGGCCCCCATTCCCCCATAGAATCCTATCAAACAGGACCAACCGGCTACTCCAAGGGAAGATTAAACATAGTAACTATAATTTCAGCTTTTCGGTAGTCCGCGAAACGTCTTAAGAAACGAAACGTCTAGTAGGTCAACACTGTTGTCCTCCCGATGCAGGGATTCCTAAGGATGGCTCTAGGATTAGGCTTTGGGTTTGGGGGATTGGGGCTTGGGCTCAGGGTTTGGGGTTTAGAATTTCTGGCTTTGGATTTGCGGGTTTGGGTTTTAGCATTAACTTGGGTTTTGGGTATTTGGGGTTCTGCCAGGATTTTTAGATCAGGGTTTTGGGTTCGGTGTTTGGGATTTGGCGTGTTCGGTTGGGGGGCTAGGATGTTGGATTTTGGAAGGGTGGAGGTTTCTAGGGTTCGTGATGATCACCTTTTGAACAGCTGGACTGTGCTGCCACTGCTATCAAGGATGCTTGATGCTTCAGGCCAGCTCAGGTGTACTATGTTGTCGAGTCGATAAACAGACAGACCAAATGTTATTGCTGCTTTGTTTCTGGTCGTTATGGCCACCACCACAGCTACCACAAGCAACACCAACGAACAATAAGAACCGATGCTGTTAAGTCGGAAGAATTGCTAGAGGATGCCAAAGGCATCCCTCAGGGCTCCTCAATATAGTGAGACCCCAAAGATTTTATTTATTTGGCCCCCATACTTCATCTGCAAGGTGTCGGGTGTGAGTTTGACCGACCTTTCTAGGTGGGTGGTTGTCAAAAAGAATTATGATCCCTGTCTGGGTCCTTATTAGAATACGGCACCTACCCTAATTTTGACAACCACCCAGGAGTTTCGAAGCATCTCTTGCTCAAGGTTCAGGCGTTTTTTATCAACGCCACATGGTTTCACAGGTCTGTGCAGGCTTCTGAGAGTAAGACTTAACGTTTCCGGCGAGCCACCCCGCACCCCAAATCAAAAAGAAGCTGTGGGCGACAACTCCCCTGTCCGCACGATTCGAACTATTTATTTAATATAACATTATTGTACAATACAATAGAATCAGATAGAGTATATCATACAGTACAGTTTAACACATTACAGTACAGTACAGTATCGTATAAAACAGTATAGTGAAGTTTAGTACTTGTACAGTATAATATCATGCAACATGATACGAAGTAACGTAATGTATTATGATGCGATGTAGAAATTATGAAAATTTTGTTTATAGAATATTATAGAACATATTCCAATACAGTATGTAGATCTTTTGTGTGAGTGCCCTCGATACCCAAACACTGAATCGCTCGATTCTCAGGTGTGCCACATCCGGGCGCCACTTGGATGCAGAAGTCGTTTTCCGCACCGCCGCCGGCACTACCAGCACTGCCGTCATCGCCACCAGGGTCCTGTACCAGCACCACCAGTATCGTCCCACTGTAGCACCGTCTCGTCGCCGACACCGGCATCACCCGGCCACCACGACGATAGCGATGACGATCACGACTCACGACTACTACCACAACTACCCGAGGGCAGCTTTGTTAGATGTTTTATGTTTAGCCTACCCGGTTGTCATGCGGTTCGATTCAAGATAATAGCCTTATGGGATTCAACATCGTAGCCTGTCTGATTCCTTAATATGAACTGTCTTTCGCAGCGGTTGGAGAGCCTTCTCTCAATTCTGTGAGGCTTGCTTTAGTCGGTTTCAGGATTGACGTCCTGAAGACTTGATGTTCTCGGCCAGGGACATGCCCTGACCAGCCTTAGGGGAAGGCACTTTCACGTCTTCCCTTTCGATGCCTGTCTTGAACGGGGCTGTCTCGATGTACAGAAGAACTCTGCATTGAGGGTACAGCGCTTTGTAGGTTGGCTTTCAAGCTGATTTCTAAGCCAGCTTCCCCCGAACCTATGCGGTTCTGCGTGCTACCGGTGTTCAGGCGAGATCCCCCCAAAATCCCAGACTGCAAACAAAAATCCGGCAAGCCTATTCACCGAGTTATGCAAGTGCAAAGCCCTGCAGCAAGGGAATCAGAACTCCCCAGAGACTCCAATATCCCTTAATTAAGGAATAGACCTTAAAACAAATTCGGGGTCCTGCTATAGTTTAAGGTATACTCCTTAATTAAGGGATATTGGAGTCTCGGGGCTTGCCGCACCTCGTCTCCGAATCCCGAGTTCCTACCGTAGACCCTAAATCCCTCCAGTCCCGGGGCCCTTCCTCTCGAACCTGAACCTTATCCTACTAATCAGTAGAGTAGGTAACCTCTGGCCTTTTTTGGGGTAGTATAGTCCCTGTATAATCCCTACATAACCAACAAGGTTAACCTGTAGTTCCCTATGATACCCGACAGTTATAGACCCGAAATTTAAATCCTACGCCGAACTAAACCCGAAACCCCGAAGCCCCAAACCCCTCAGATCCCTGACGCCTAAGCCCCCCGATACTGTAGCCTTAATAATTATAGAATCGGGTTTTGGGGGTTCGTTATCATCATGATTATAGTATATATATATATATATATATATATATATATATATATACTCCCCAAACCCTATTCCAATAATTAAGGCCCCTTTATCATGGCACCCATATAGCAACCCTTATATGACCCTATAAAAGAGAACCCTATTCTAATAATTAAGGCCCCTAGATTGCCTGAAAGCTTTGTTCAGGATGCGTCAGCCTCAAACTTGGAGGGACCCCCGCAGGACGATCCTTGGCCTATGCTTTGCGGGCGGTAGGGTTTTTCGTATAATCGTAGGGTTTAGGGTTTAGGGTTTAGAGTTTTAGGGTTTGGGTTTAGGGCTTAGGGTTTAGGGTTTAGAGTTTTAGGGTTTGGGGTTTAGGGCTTGGGCGTTTAGGGTTTAGGGTCTAGGGTTTAGGGGTTCAGGGGCTGAGGGCCACGGTTCTGCCAGAGCTTTGCGCGTCTTTTTATATCTCTTTGAGTGGTTTGAACTGAAGGACTGTAACGGGGCTTAGTGTAAAACGACGTACAGTAGCCAAGTTCTACAGCAACAACACTTTGTTTTTGGAGGGGTTCCCTGAAACAGCTACGCTTCAACATACAATCCCTAAGACTTGGCGTACAATCCTTCGGGTTCCCACGGCAAGCAGATGGGAAGATGTTGTCCGGTTCATCAGCCTTTGCCCATCCTTCACGACATGTGCGTGGCGTTGAACTGGACGTCCTGTAGTTGAGTCTTCAGCCGGGTCGCATTTAGAGGCTGTTCCATTTTCGCTCAGTGATTAGGGTCAAGGCGCAAGGGTGACATATACTGCAAAGCCCTGTCGCAGTTGCAGAAGCCCCACGAATCCTGAGCCCGACCTATTCCCCCAACCATGCACCCCTCAAAGGCCCCAACAAGAACCCTGAACTCTAAATCCAGTTCATCGGTGCCTTCTCCCCAAAGCGGTCAAGGGCACCACCTAAACACCGACATCTGACTCCGGTTGTGTATGTGCCAGTGGCTGTTCCTGTTCCTTACTTGGGGTCGTGCATGCCGGGCTACATGGCTCCCCGCCCCCGTTGCGGGGACAAAACCCCGCCAGGCTGTCGGATTCCCGCCCTAATGCTGCACCTTCCAATGTTACGAAGGGCATCCCAAAGCCGAATGCATGCACTCGAAGACCTAGGCCGTAACACGACCCGAATCCCAATCGACTGGTGAAGCCCGAAACCTCCAGAACCGCCATGTCAAACGAAAGCCTCAAAGCCAGAATAAACCCTACACCCAAAAAACCCTAAGGTCTGAAGTCAAGCCTGGTCCCCAAATCACCCAAAGCCTCAGTCCTAGACCCCTAGCCCTAACACACCACACTAACCCGAACCCTCAAGACGGCCCCTCAAAAAGCCAAAGTGACAACCAAGCCCAAAACCCGAAGCACAAAGGCCTCTTTCAGACCCCCAGTCGCAGAGTCCTGGTCTAAAGCCCGACGACAGTCACCTCTGCCCCCGAAGCCATAAATCTGCAAAGCCCCAGGACCCGGATTTTGGGACATTTTTTGTTTTTCCTTATTTGGGTTTATATAAGGGACCCTATATATGGTCAGGCGTCTGGCGTTCCCAGCCCCCCCCCCCCCCCCCCCCCCCAATGGTATGGTCTGACAGCAAAAGGGGGGTCCCTGGCGTGTGCGGAAAGGGGTTGGGGCCGTTGGAGCTGCCGCTGGATGGTGGGGCGGTGCTGGCGACCAGGGCTCACGCGCAAGCCCTTCGCAAGCAAGCCGTAAACCCTATGACGCAGCCCGTGCCCCGATTTTGAGCAACCTTAACTTGTACTTAAAACGCTACACCCAACCCTAAACCCCACCTAACTGCAGGCTCTAAGCCTAAAGCAGAGCATACACCGCAAATCCTCCCTAAGCCCTTGTCGACTCGAAGCCTTATACCTTGTAACCGTAAACCCAAAACTCAAAAGCTTAAGCTAAACCCGAAACCCCAAAACCCCACAACCACCCCACAGGGGGAAGAGGAACCCCACACCCCACACCACAGGGGAGGGGGGGGGCCCCACCCTATATCCGGACCATTGACCTTTGGGGGGGGAGGGGGGGGGGGGGGCTGCGGAGCGCGTGACCATATATGAATATTTTCCAGGGTGTTTAAAGGCCAACCCAGCCCCATCCAAAGCCCCAAGCGCGTGAAACCCAGCAGCCGGCATTCGAACGCCGAGCCCCAAGAAAACCTCTGCTGAGTTTGATTCAACCCCAAACCCTAAAACGCGAAACCCCCAAACCCTAAACTCCAAACCCTGAACCCCCAAACCCTAAACTCCAAACTCTAAACCCCCAAACCCTAAACCCCAAACCCTAAACCCCCAAACCCTAAACCCTAAACCCTGAACCCGCAAACCCCGAACCCTTTGCTTTAAACCTTCAACCCCAGAGTCCTTCAAAGAGGACGCCGGGCTCCAGGCGCTGGAGTCTCTGGCCAAGGCCCCTCCGGGGCTGTCTTTGGTGCACTTAGAGTGTAGTTTAGGGTTTAGGGTTTAGTTTAATTAAGGTTTAGGGTGTAGGGTTTAGTTTAATTAGGGTTTAGGGTTTAGGGTTTAGTTCAATTAGGGTTTAGGGCTTAGGGTTTAGTTTTATTAGGGTTTAGGGTTTAGGGTTTAGGGTTTAGGGTTTAGGGTTTAGTTTAATTAGGGTTTAGGGTTTAAGGTTGAGGGTATAGTTTAGGGTTTGTATTATTGCAGCTCCACGGGTTGGTTAGAAGATGTGATTTCATGATGGTTAAAAGGGCGCTTGAGCTTTAGACTACCCAAGGAATCCGGTACCATAACGGGTGTTATCAGGGTTGCTGGACCGTACTTGGAGGATCATGGAACTTAGTAAGTAAGCTAATAAGTACCTAAATTGGGGTTATAAGTAGCTATAAGCCTAGTTACCCCAATTATAACCCCAGTTATTAAGTCCCATGATCCTTTAAGTAAGGGCTTTACTATTTAGGGGGGTTCAGGTGGATTCGGGCCATTGGGGTGTGGTATCTGGGTTTAGGGATATACCTTAAGTCCATAAAGCCCTCGTCAAAACTCAAGCTCATGGGTGGCTGATTTAGGCCTGGAGTTCTCGGAGAGTATATATATATATATATATGGGATGTTTTCAAACGAACTGGGGTACTCAATAAGGACCTTTTCATTTGGGCTTTTATGTTCTGGTCTACTGTTTGCTGAATCCAGCCCTGGCCCCAGCGATAGTTGAAGTTCTTTCTTTTCGAACCGTTGATTCAGTGTTGTTAAGCCTGAGACATTCCCAGAGAGCCATCGGCTGTGAACTTCGGAAGCCCCAAGCCCTACATCCTACCAGCACCCCGCCAAGTACCCTTCAATGGTGCCCTTATGGTCCTTCATAGTGGGTATTTAGGATATAATAGATTTGAAGCTGCCCCCACCCTGTAATAGTCACTATAAGGACTATATTCGGACCCCATTATCTTCCTGATATACCACTATTACAGGGTGGGGGCAGCTTCTAAATAATCGAGGGTAGTTGGGGGGGGGGGGGGTGCTGGTAAGCCTTAGACTTAAGTTGGATACTGCCCCCACTCACTAACAGTTGGATAGTATTCATAATATAGATATAATAGGCCCTTAATAGTAGCCCTATTATAGACTGTTAGTGTATGGGGGCCGTACCCAACCTTAACCTACCGTCTCCTCAGGATTTCTTTATTTTGTTCATATAAAACCCAAGAGAATAGTATGGGGGCAGTATCCAAGATCTAAAGGGGACTCCAGAAAGTTGGAATATGGTTTCAGGGTAGGATACCCTATAGTTTACCAAAAAGGGTTTAGGATAATCATATTCCAACCTTCTGGCTTTTACTGTAAACCCTAAACCCTAAACCCTAAACCCTAAACCCTAAACCCTAAACCCTAAACCCTAAACCCTAAACCCTAAACCCTAAACCCTAAACCCTAAACCCTAAACCCTAAACCCTAAACCCTAAGTAAGGGTTCTTAGGGTTTCTCCGACTCGTCGTTGCAGAGCTGCGCGTGTGAGGAAGTTAGGGCCGCCAGAAGGGGTCAGATGCTTGGAGGCTCCTTTAAGGGTCCCTTTAAAGGGATCTATAGGGATTCTATAAGGGTATAGGGTTTAGGGTCTACTTGGAGGTTCATGGGTAGTTGTAAGTGGGGTTGTAAGTAGAGTACCTATAGTTATAACCCATATTAAGGGACTTATAACTCCACTTGTAACTACCCATGAACCTCCAAGTGAGGGTTTAGGATGTTCTTCTGCTTAGCCTCGAACTCGTCAGCCTGCTTCTACACTAAACTTTAAACTCGAAACCCTAAACTCTGTAAGCCCTAAAAGCCTTAAGCTTTACACTCTAGACTGCGGTGCTGTGTCCCTGTTTAAAAGTAGGTCCACTGTGGTCGTTCATTCAAGCTTACCATGTGCAGGTCCATGAGTCACGAGCAGAGTCTCTTCCCGAGACAGATGGCAACGGGAAGCCCAACACGGTTGATCGTGACGCGCGAGTGGCCGTGAAGAGGCTGCTTGATCCAGTGGCTGTCGCCGAAGTTGCAATCATTGAGCTTAATAATCATAATGTTGATAAGTAATAGTAATAATGAACTTAATACTAGTAAGAATAAGAACTTAAGCATCGTCCGCCGAACACGACCCTGAGCGGAGCTCAGAGAAGCCGACACACTTGTAACTATAGTAATAAGAGTCGTAATAAAACGAGCAATAATAATGACAATTGCACTACTAGCGACCACATAGCCGTACAGATTATGAGTGCTTCAAGGCATGGCAGCGAACGCGCTCCCGACATTCGGATGCTGCAGTGGTCGCGAAAGCCTACTGCGACCACCTTGGTCATGGTAGTTCCGCTGTCCAGCACGAGGGTTCAGGGTGTACACTCTAGTAGGGCGTGCGAACTTGAACAGCAACGCTGTTCGGAACCCTAAACCCGAAACCCTTAACTTAAACCCTTGCGGAAGCCTTGTTTGGTACTGAGCAGGCGGCTTCCTCTCAGTCGCGGATAGCAAAAGTCACTCGGCAGACAACAGTTCAACAAGGGCTACACTGGGGTTTCTGAAGATTCGGGTCCCTCCTAAACCCTAAACCCTAAACCTGAAGGGGTGCACGTATAATTAGAATGTGCACTTTAGGACATTGTGCGGATCGCCGCTTTTCTGAAGACTCTAAAGCTAAAGAATGGGGACGACGTTGCATTGAAGGGAACCGCGATACCTTCATAAACCCTTAGCCCCTATATACTGCCCCGGACAATAAGTAAAATGCCTGTTTATATGTAGCCCTTACTATGAACTTTAATATACACTGCTGCGGGGTGTGAGCAGTACACAAGCTACGCGCCCTGGCCACACCCCTGGGGGTCGATGCCAAGTACCGTGTGAAGTAGCGCTCATATTTGGGAGTTTCCGAAAATTCGGGGCTTAGTTTGGTGCCTTTTTAACACGGATCCTACTATTTATAAGGTACTACGTATACTAGGGTCCCCCATTTTCGGAAGCTTCCATTTGGGCTTTGGTGAGCGCCTAACATGGCTCCCTTGGACTTTTGGTAAGTGTTCCAATTGTGTGTTCCTTTGTGGAGACCAGAAAGAAAAATTACGTCACATAGAGTTTGCAGAGCTCATTGCAATCGGGCTGGCGGGAAGTTGGCTTTCGGGCGCAGGGTGCGGAGCTGCGAGGAATCGGTTGGTTGCTGAGCCACACGCCTTACAGTACCTTCTCTGATAGTACTCCCGATAGGAACCCTTACAGGAACCCTAAACTCTAAACCCTACCGCCAACAATCGTCGGATTCCCGCAGGGCAGCCTCCCAAGCGATTTCAGGGGCTTCTGAAGCCCGTAACCATCATAACGGTACCTAAACCCCCAAAAGTAGGTAAAATAATGGCCCAATGCCTTTAAACGGCTATTATTCTACAGATTTTTGGGGTCCAGGTAGTAGGAAAAACACTAAACCCTAAACTCATCAGTCCGAGCCTCAGCAGCAACGCCCGGAAGACGAGGCTTCTGGGCACCGCGCGGCCAAAGCGACCGCGGCGGCAGGGGCCCCTGGCGGTGTTTGTGTGCATTCGCTCTAGATTCATAGCAGCCAAAAGGGGTTTTAGCCTATGGGGGTTTAGTCGGGATTAGGGTTCCCATAATATGGTTCATATTAAGGAATCCCTATCCCAAGAATCTTAAACCCCCCTTTTGGCCTCCCATCATCGATTATGATGCTTTTATTCGTCTCCACCGGCGGATGACGAGGTTGCGATTTCTTGTACACGGCAGTATAGACTTCAGGTTTAGCTCTGGGGGTTCTAACTACTGGTCTCTGAGTTGCAGCATTTGATCGCCCCAGTCCCATCCCTGGCCTTCTGCAAAGGTAAGCTCTTTGCCAGTTATTGCGCCGGTGGCAGTCGCAAAGATGCCGAACGCACGAGGCTGGAGCCCGGGTCGTTTCCCCCACCCCCCCACCCCCCCACCCCCCCACCCCCCCACCCTCCTACCCCCCCACCCCCCCACACCCCCACAAGCTCTAAGGACTAGAAGCCAAACCGGGTCCCAAACCGGAACAGCATCCCTAACTCCAAGCTTACCCTACACTTCAAACCCTAAAGCTCTCGAAAGGGTACAATCTCCCGGAGCTCGTGTTTTGCAGCCTTCGCCTCCGGGAGCTCCCCATCACAACGGCAGACCTTCAAACTCCGTAGAAAAAAGTCTAAAGGGGCCTAAGGAACTAGAATAGGGTTGAGGGGCCCATTATACTATTAGTATAAAAAGGAACCATAAACTTTTCAGATCAGACAAACCCTCCATTTTTCCTGTGCAGTTCGAGGCATTGTTTACACTGTTTTCGTGATTCGCCTCCAGAAATGAAACAGCCCAACTCCTGGGCGAATTGTCTTTGGACCGTCCGTCAATCCTTATTTTAAACCAGTAGACTGGAACCTAAATAGTAGGTGCCGTATTCCAATAAGGACCCAAAAAGGACCCTAATTTTGACAACCACCCATGTGGCAGCAATCCCCAATGAGGCTGCTGCTGTCTGCTACTGCTGGCCCCTGCATTTCGACTGTAGGTTTAGGGTTAGGTGTGGAGTCCGTTCTACCATCAAACGCCCGGTGCCGTCATGTCTACTGCTACGAGTCGACACGGTTGGCCTTTGACAGAACTCTTGCCTGGAGTTGGGTCTGTGGTTCTCCACGACTCAGTCATATACGTCTAGGATAGCAGTAACTGTTGGTTGGCATGTTGGGGGTCATATTCTGATTGGGTATTCGGACCCTTAGTACTGTTGCTGCTGCACATGTAAGCTAATTATAGAGTCCCCTATAGCCTGACCCAGGGAAGGGTTGCCCTCAACGGGGGTTGTCGGTTGGGCATTGCAACCTAGACTCTTGCTGCTCCAGGCGGCCATCAGCGCCTTGGAAGCTTCTTGTGAGGCAAAAAACGGAATTGCAGAGCGATGGTGGGCCCAACCCGTGGCGGAAATTTCGGTATCACATGTCGGGCTTGTAAGCACTCGAACGGTGCAACGTGTTTGTGGCGGTGTTTGTGCTTGTCTGTATGCTTCGCGATAGCATGCGGCACTTCCGGTAAACAAAAAACATTCTGGTAATAGGGTTTGACGGCTCGAGCAGTGCTTGCGAAAAAGGTGACAACTACACCATCACCACCAATGCGACGCGACCAACAGCAACCACACTCACAATCGTCACAATGTGCATGCTCACATTACAGTCAGGACAGCAAGAATATGCTTACAAGTTGCAGCCATGTTGACCTTGCTTCAGCGAAGTGCAACATATTGCTAGAAGCAGTAACTACTACCAAAAGATGCCGATGCCAAGCAGGTCAGCATGAAGTGTTAAGCAAGCACTTTAGTGGGCCCTAAACCCCTGAATCCTAAAACCTGAGGCCGAGGCCTTCGTGCTTCGACCGTTCTATAGGGAACTCCAGAAAGTTGGAATTTAGGATACCTTATAATTTACCATAAAGGGCTTAGGATAATCATATTCCAACTTTTTGGCTTTTACTTTAGGGATCAGGGGTCTCGGGTCTCCAAAGTTACTACTGCCAGCAGGATCCTGTGCGACGTGTCTGCTAGTTACGGCAACCAACCATGGTTTACAGAGACAGGAACATTATGTTCTACTATAGTGTATGATAACATACTAGGTTATAGCAGGTAGATGATCGTATCCATATGGTGGTGTGAGAGCCTATCCTGGCATTTGTGTTCCCTGGGGCTCTTTTGGCTCAGACGTGTGCCACAGTTCTTACGTCATCTCCCCTTATCCGACCATGATGAAGTTACTCCTTCTGGCGATCTGCCCTGCCTTGCTGGTGCACTCCGCGAAGGCTCCCAACAGCACCGGTGATGCTGATGAACATACTGACGCTGCTGATGGTTCTGGTGGTGGTGCTGCTGCTGATGATTATGATGACGATGGTAGTGCTGATGTTGACGAAGGTGCTGATGCCGATCGTAGTCATGCAGGCTTTACAACTACAATTCAGAACTACATGATGATGCTGATGATGGTGCTGCTGCTGTCGATGGTGGTGATGGTCATGACGATGATCATGGTGATAGAGTTGTCGGAGTTTGTTTCCGGTGATTGCGACAATGATGATGATGATGAAGAAGATGATGATGATGATGATAACGGCGGTAATCAGGCAACCATCATTTTCACGACCATCATCACTATCATAGATTTCAGTGTCGTACCAGGGACAACGATTAGGGCAGTAGCAGCGGTACACATACAATTAAAACTTTCATGTCGGAGCAGCGCTTGCAGCAACCGAAGCCATAAGAACACGTGAGCCCGAACCGCCAGACTTGCCCCAGCCCAGCAGCATACTTGGAGGTTCATGGGTAGTTATAAGTGGAGTTATAAGCCCCCTAATATGGGCTATAAGTATACTCGCCCTACTTATAACCCCACTTTAACTACCCATGAACCTCCAAGTAGGGCCTAACATAACGAAGACAACGCCACGGAATTTCGCGGTCGTGTCGGGTCCGAGGCTTCAAGACCGTCTTTGAGTGTTTAGGGTTTAGGGTTTAGGGTTTTAGGGTTTGGAACATGGTTTTTGGTGTATCTATATTAATATTCAGGAGCCCCCAAAACCCTATCTTCATTGTTAAGGCCCCTACAGGATTCATGTCTCGAAGTTCTGACATGTGGTTCCCTCCCTGAGCTCCAATCCCACAGCCGGAAATCTGCACTGCCGATGACCGATGCCACACGACCGCCCTAAAGCCTACACCCTGAGTCTTAAGACCCTTGGGGTTGCGGGTGTCCTAGACCCAAAATCTCCTTCTCTCCGAAAGCTCATTTTACCAGAAGAGCCCGAAGAAGTGAGTCTCCAAAGGGTTCGAAGGTTAAGGGTGAGGGTTTCAGGGTATCTAGGGAATTTTGGGCTTCGGGTATTTAGGCTTTCGGGTTTGAGGTAGTCCAAGCTGTCAACACTCTCTTAGGGTTGCAGGTGCGTCAATGTAGAGCTTCAAATTATCAGCGTTCTTCAGGTACGTACCGTCGGCCCGCGACTAAGAGCCCTTCCAACATTTTCACCCTGTATTCAACCTCAGACGAACCCCAAGCCCGTAAACCCTAAACCCTAAACCCCTAAACCCCTAAAACCCTAAACCCCTACACCCCTAAACCCTAAACCCTTTCAAGATCCATGCCCTTGCTGACAAAGCTCCCCAGTTGTGCCTCTGGCTCTTGAGAGGTTCGAACCAGCCGCCGTCAGGCCGACAGCGAGGTCGAGGATTGTTGGGGTTTAATATAGGGTTCTTAATAATTACCAATATGTTACTCAATACTGTTCTGGGGGTTCCTTATTAAACGCATAGTATAATGGGCCCCACAACCCTGTTCTAAGTATTAAGGCCATACGTTAGGGCGTGGGGTTCGGGGTTAGGATGTTGGGAGGGCTTGCTTGTTGAGGGTTTATGGTACATCCGGGTAGGTTTTCGCACTTAGGGCTGCGATGTAGGTTTTGAGCATTGCTTGTAGGGATGGAGATTTAACGGAGGTTTAGAGATATCGCGTTTTGTGTTTAGGGACTTAGGCTTAAAGGGTCTAGCTGCGGTATTTCGATTCCAAGGTGTTTAGGGATAGGGAAATTTCTGACGCAAGCTCTTGGAAGCCCCAACATTTCTTCAGATATGGTAATGAAGGGGCTTGGGGGATTAGTGTGTCGGGGTGAGGTTAATAACGGTCTATGGGTGCATGAGGACATTTAGTGTTCCATATATAACTTGAAATTTCTAACTATAAATACACACCCAGACCCTTTTGGAATTTGTTTTGCCTTATTTCGCTGATCCGTTCCGGACGCTTCTTAAGTTCCCCTTACATCTGGCCAAAACCGCATCTCCAGGACCGAAACGTCCGTGTGGCTAGGAAACCCGACACTTCTCTAAACCCACAATCCTCTGCACCCCCCCAAACCCGACACTACTCTAAAACTTTTAGACTCCAAACCCCCAATCCCTTGCACCCCCCCTAATCGTCGTATTGGAAACTCAGAGAGATGGGTGGTTTGAATTGCCGAGTTTAACGTTCAGGGGTGTCTTTAGGGTCTGGGGTTTCTTGCGTGGCCGCAATTGATTGTTCCTCCTTGTTGAGGAAGTGTTGTTGTCTTGCTTGCTTCAGCGGAAGCGGTGAATTCACGTCATCTGTGGATCGTACCAGAGGAACCGTTTTATTTATAGTATCACACTGGCCAAACAAAGCACAACAAGCGATAAGGATATGTATTCCTATACAAGCACTGAACCATGAGTGTCGGCTCTGTAAAGTTCACGGGTAGCAATGATCACCTAAACCCAACTAAGCCCATAACCGCGCACCCTGAACCCAAACTCCAACTCTGCACCTTGCGCCCTACCCAAAACCCTTAATCCTAAACCCCAAGCCCTAAACCCAGAGACTCCAATATCCCTTTTTTAAGGAATATACCGTAAATCATATGAGGGATCCTACTATAATTTAAGGTATCTTCCTTACTTAAGGAATATGGGAGTCTCTGGGAACCCGAAGTAAGGGAGACGCGTCCCCCCGTAAAATCCTCCCTAAACTCTAAACCCTAAACCCTCAAGAGCAGGATATAAACAGAAATTGTGTGAATGTCACTTCGTATTGAATTTTTCGTTAGTTTCAAATTCTCATTAAACGTGTCCAGCCAACTTCCAGCCCAGCCCCGGCCCAGCCCCGCAGCCCCCAGCCTTCAGAGTTTAGCCGCCAAGCCTAGCAGCGCCAAGGCCCCATCAGCCGCAGCCGCAGCCCCCGCCCCAGCTCCAACCCAAGCCCAGCCCACTCCGAAAATCAAAACTTCAAAGCAAAAAAACAAAACCCGCGCAAAACTTTCGGTCGAAACCCCGAACCCAAACCCTATACAATTTCTATAAACCCTAAACCCTAACCCTAAACCCTTGCCCAGGAGCTCGAGGAGGATGCCAATCCCTGCCCAAAGGGGTTGACAAACAGGTGCGGGACTCGGGACCTGGCAGCTCCCTACAACCATAGGAATGGGGGGCTTAATGAGAAGAGGGTTCCTTTTAGAGGGTTCTAGCAGGGTTACTAGAAGAATTACTATAAGGGATTCATATAGGGGCCTTAAGCCCTAAACCTTAAACCCTAAACCCTAAACCTTAAACCCTAAACCCTAAACCTTAAACCATAAACCCTAAACCCTAATAACTCGAATAGGGTTTCGGGGCCGACTATACTATAGTTATGATGACAACTCGGGCCCAGAGCTTTGGGGGAGCTCTTGGTTTGGGGTGGTCGGGCTTTAGGGTTTCTAGGGGTTTTAGGGTTTCTATAGGGTTTTTAGGGTTTCTAGGGTTTTAGGGTTTCTATGGGGTTTTAGGGTTTCTAGGGTTTTAGGGGTTTCTAGGGGGTTTTAGGGTTTAGTGACTTGGGTTTAGGGGTTTTTGGGACGAGGGATTGTGGTTTCCCAAGGTTTAGAAGTCCGAGGGACCCGGGGTTCAGGGATTAGGGATTAGGGTTTAGGGGTTATAGGGTTTAGGGATTAAGGGTCGGGATTTCGGTTTTAGTTAGGGGTTTATATAAGGGCGGAAGTAATTACCAACACCATTTTGGGGGATCCTTTTCACAATTGTAGTATAATGAGCCCGAAAACCCTTTTCTCATTATTATGGCCCCTATATTATGGGTTTAGGGTTTTGATTTTGTTGTGTGCGTCACAGTATCAACTAGGAGACTCTTTGAGACCTTTTCAGCCGTCGTTGCGGAAACCCAATCTCCAAAACTCCGAAACGTCGTTACCTATAGGCTCCATTGTAGTTTCTTTTCGTGGTTTATTTATGTTCAGGATCCTATAAGCTCTATAGGTAGTTTTCTGTTTAGAATGTTTCGGAGTTCGATTAGGCTAGGCCCCTTTACACGATAAGTATAA